CCCCCCCCCCCCACACACACACACGCATCCAGGATGCATCTCTGTGTGCACATAATCAAATCAGGTGCGTGTGAGACGTTCGAGCAGCGCAACAACATCGGCGTCCGGCGCGTCGTGATCTACAGGACCGGCCTGGGGGAGGGGCAGAAGGTCGCTGCAACCGAGTACGAGATTCCCGCCATCAAGACCGGCCTCGAGCACGCCTGCGGGGACAAGCAACCAGAACTCGCCGTCATACTCACCACACAACAGACCAACACCAGGCACACACGTACACACACACACACACACGGAGAGAGCGAGAGAGAGAGACCAACGTGACGCACACCCATGTCTCTCTCTCTGTGTGTGTGTAGGTTCGCCACGGCAAAAGGCAACCAGCTGTCCAACCCCCCGCCCCTCTCCGTCTTCGACAAAGGTAAATCAGCGAGTGGATGGGGGCCGAGGTGACTGCTGTGTATGTGTGTGTGTGTGTGGATTGCAATCAGGTGTTGCCGACGATCAGGTGTACGTCTGGTACGGCTGCCATCAGCAGGTCACGAGCGGCACCATCACACCCACCAAGTGAATGACCACCACACACACAGAGACACACAGACAGACAGACAGGCAGAGAGACACGCTATGTGAGTGTGTGTGTTGCTCTGCTTGCCTGTGTGGAACCAAACAAACAGGTATGAGGTGCTGCACATGGATCGCTGGGGCCTCGACGTCGACCAAACAATCAACCTGACCATGCAGCTCAGCACCATGTACCAAAACTGGAGCGGTCAGCAACCAACAAGTGCCACACACAGACATACACACATTCTCCCCTCTCTCTCTCTGTGTGTGTGGGAATGTCTATCGATCAGGTCCGATTCGTGTGCCAGCGGTGGTCAAGATGGCCGAGGTGTGTGCTCGCAAGGTGGCTGAGAACCTGTCTTGCAAGACGCCCACTGACCACCTCGCCACCCTCCCCTGGTACCTCTGAGTGGGCCTGATCGAGACAGCTGCCCACACACACACAGACAGACCGGCCGACACAGACACACAGACAGACAGACTGTAGAGTAGATTGAAGAGTAGACGACTACAGACGACACACTGACTGGATGGATGGATGGATGGACAAATTCATGTTGACTGAATGAATGAATGGCTGATGGCGATGTGGTGCAAATCAGAACTGAATCCATCCATGCACCACTCAGACGAGTCCGCACATGTCCATCCATTCATCGCACGAACTCGCAGAGGAAACACACGCAATCCAGTCCACAAACACGCCACACAATCTCTCTCTCTCACACACACACACACACACATACATAAGGCCGACGAGCCAATTGGCGCTCTGCGCCGCCCAGCGCAAAAGAACCGCGCGAGCCACCACAACCACCACCACCACCAACCACTACCTAAACCACAGCGACGACCTACGAAAAAAGGTCTCTCTCCCCGCCAGCGCCAAACAACAAATACACGCCTCCCTTCAATTACATCACACTACTCGGTCTACGGGCTCGGTCACTTGCCAAGCCATCATCTCCCCTTCCCCTTCCTCCCTTATGAAGATGTGATAGTTCCTCTCCCTATATCTGCCGGGCAGCCTCTTCCTCGACAGCGTCGTGTCCATGTGCAGATGCTTCCGCAGAAGAATGTGCGGGGGCAGCTGCAGGGCATCGGGGTCGGCCGTGATGATTTCGCTACTGCCGTTGTGGCTGTGGGTGTGGGGGAAGGACTCGTGACTGCCCTGGGCGATCATCTCGAGCAGCGCGCAGTAGCAGGCGGGCGTGTAGTGGTGCGGGAACCTCGGCAGAGCCGCCAGCTCCTGAAATGGACACCACAGACAGACAGAAAGCAGGCACATGCGTACACACGCGTGTGTGTGTGTGTGAGTATCTGTGCAATCAATCAACTATATATATATACCGCAGGCGAGACCTGCCCCTTGAGGACGGCGGCTATCGCCTTGGCCTGCACCTCCATGCAGAAGAAGAACCCGCCGGTCCCAAAGGCCAGCCCCACGAAGAACAGGCTGGCCGGGTGACTCTTGTGGAACACGTGCAGGTGGAGGGCGTCAAACAGGCACTGTGGGTCATCCGCTATGCCCGACGGGATCAGCCCGCTCCCAGGAGCGATGAACGGGAAATCTGAATGTCGTGTCGTACAACACAACACCACAATACATAGTGTGCCGTGCCGCAGTGGCCTGCTCGTTTTCACCCACCGTACCGTACCGTATGTGTATCCCGTCGCCCATATGACGGCATCGATTGTGTCGGTGCTGGTGAGCAGCCGCCCGTCGCTCCCCACGCTGATGTACCGGCCGTCCTCCTCGACACCTTCAATGCGGCCCACCAAACGCACGTTGGCTGGCAGCTTGGCCGCTAGGTCAGCCGCTGTGTCGGCGTCTGTGAATTGCGTGCCCGACCACACAACGGTAGTCGCGACGCTGCTGAGCTCCCACACCAAATCTGCCACACACAAGAGGAGGGACAGCGAAAGAAAGACCTGGATGGACAGGCGCCTCTGATATGACTGGGGGAGGTTGGTTCACGCGTGGGCGTACCCGATCCCGACCAGCTGCCGCCGACCACAAGCACCCGCTGATTGGCGTATGCTGACGGCTCGCGGTAGTACTTCGAGTGCGTAGACGGCCCACGAAACCCCATCTTTATCAGTCTCGGATACCGCGGCTTGTTGTAACGCCCATTCGCCACCACCAGAGCGCCGTACAGCCGCTCCTCGCCGTTGATCCGCCAGACGCCCTCCACCTTTGCGCCCTCCCTGCCAGCTGCCACGTACTCTGTTGAGTGGACAGTCGTGTTGAAGGCAATCGAGTCACGGAGGGCGAACCGGTCGGCGTATGCCTGCAGGTAGCTGAGCACGTCTGTGTGCTTGATGAAGGAGGGCAGGGATGGGTCGAACGGGACGTCGCTGAAGGCCATGATCTCCTTTGGTACTGTATGTTGGTGCGAAGCGAATCATACATGGCCGAGCGGTCGCCGTGCACCCATATGCCGCCGACCTGACCCGATGACTCGAAGACGCGCACAGCGAAGCCGGCGTCGCGGAGATGCCGGGCTGCCACAAGCCCACCTGCAAGAGGCAAAGAAAGATACTGTACAGAGAACACGGGCAGACCAACAATTCCAGAGCCATGCTGCTTGTCTTCTCTGTAACGCGTACCTGCTCCGGCGCCAATCACGGCGACACTTCCCATGGTCATCGCGAGTCGGTTTTGCCGTTGACCGTTGAGGGAGGAAGGTACGCCATGTAGAGAAAGGGGCGTCGCGCGAGCTACACGGCTGCACATTCCCTTTCGTATGGACGATAAACGTGACAATGCAGCACGCACACGCCAAAACGACACAAGTGACGCCAAACGCAAGTCGTGCAATGGATTTCCATTCACGTATTAAATACACGCACTAACAGACAGCTATTCTACTCAGGGACATCAAATCGGTCGCGAACACCCCTCCCTCTCTCCTCTCTCTATTTCCTTCCTGTCACCTCGACGTATCCATCCATCCATCCGTCTTTCTGTCTGTCTAGATGAGTCCCTGTGTGCTGAGCATCACCTCCAGCTCCGACACCTTCTTGCCGTCGGCCAGCGTCAGCCGCCTGCCGTCAGACGGGGCGTAGTACTCGGGCGGCGGCTGGGACAGAAGCTCGCGGACGACCTGAACGACACGTTTGTTTACAGAGGAAGATCTTTTGCATGGAGGCCGATACACACGTGTGTGTGTGTGAAGGGGGAAGGAGGGGGACGGGGGCTTCACCTGGTGGTATGGCCAGTAGTGCAGGTTGAGTGCCTGCAGCTCGTCTCTCGCCTCACGGATCTGCTGCTCGCTCACATTGAGGGCGGTCGCCAGACTCACGCCGCCCAGCGTGTTGCTGCCAATGCTGTGCAGGTTCTCGAGCAGATGCTGTCTGAAGATGTCGGTGTACTCGAGGGCCATCTCCATCACACGCTTCGAGACCGTCGAGAGTGAGAGACGAGACTGCCATGCAGACGATGGAACAAGACAGAATGCGATACAGAATGTAATGATGGTCACTGTGCGTGGTAACTCACTTTCCCGGCCTCCTGTCGGCAGAGATCATCAACACGAGTGCGCAACAAGGGGTACTGCTCCATGCACTGCGCGATGTTGGCCAACCTACAAAGGACACACAAATGGTGCTTGATGCATTGGCCCCTCCCTCCCTCCCCTCTCTCCCTCCCCACCCACGGACCACGCATTGCGGCAGATGTACTGGCTTCGGTTGTAGGTGGGCTCAGCAGTGGCTCTGCCCACATCCGGCCGGACACCGAAGAGCTCCCAGCAGGCCTCGACCACGGCGTCCGCGGAAAGCTCGGGAGCCGACGGTCTTTGGAAGAAACAGACATGACGGTCAACGTGTTAATTTGTCGGCGGCCAGGCACGAAACAAGACGATCGTCTCCATGTACAGACGGCTGTGTATCTGACACTTATGTAGAAATGTCAGATCATGTATCAATGTCCTCTGCGTGAAGAGGTATGTGTTGCCGGCGAAGGAGATGGGGACCGCCTTGTTCGACCAGAAAAAGAAGTTCTGCGAGCCACGGGCGAGAATGAAAGGGTCGAACGCCACCGCGCCTGCCCTCCTGCGCGCCAGGCTGGGGTTCATCGCCACGCTCTTGGAGACGAAGTCATCAATCGCTCGTGACAGCACACTGACCACACAGGCGTATCGTGAGCGGAGTGATTCGTCCACGGCTGGAGGGTCATGCATCGCGATGCGGGCGAGTCGGAAGAAGAAGTGGACCACGCGGACGCCATGCGGGCCCGTGAAGACCCTCGCACCCTCCACGGCAGGCGGCTTGCTGATCGGGGCACCAGGCGGCATGGTCACGGCCAAGCGAATGGCCATAAAGGACGAACGCACCATCTCCACCTGGAAGCTCACCCTCGGGTACGGGAGGCGCGCCACCTCGCTGATAATCTGGGCCTCTCGGCGCCGCTGCAGCTCGTAGAACTCGTCCTCGGACATCATTCCGTAGGCGTACTTGACGGGGTTCGTGTTGCCGTACAGGTCGGCCATACGCTTAGCCTCCTTGCAGACCTCCTTGTGTGCCGTACGCCAGTGGCGCGACTGACACTCGCGGGAGCAGTAGCTGATGAGGTAGCATCCCTTGCAGTACCCCAGCGACACGGCAAGAGGCGCCTTGCCATACATCGCGCAGCGCCGCTCTGTCGGGTAGGCAGCCGAGGCATTGAGGCGCACCTTGTAGCCACGCATCTCTGAAAGGCACAAACACGGCAGCACAACAAGCACTCATGAAAGATATGTGTGTTGGTCCTCCCTGCCCTCTCTCTCAAGCTCACTTTTGTAAGTGAAAGGCAGGCGGCCGCCATCGGCCGGCTCGCCGGTCCGCGGCGTTGCCGTCGAGCTGGCAGCCGTCGAGCCAGCCTGCTCACTCCGCTGGGCACCACTGGTGGACATGGCAGCCGCCCCCTGGCAGATGAGTTGTCGGGCTCAGAGAAATGAATGCTTGCAAGAATTGAATGCCTCGCAGGAGCGGCAGTTTGGCTCATGCGCTCCTTCCCAGTGGTTTGCATAGCATCTCGTATCTGAAGGAACGTTTCACGCGACCCTACAGCGGCCAGTGATTGGCTCTGAACGCCTCATAAGGTAGTTGTGGATCTCCGTCTTGCCGCATCATGCAGCTCCTCCTCTCCCTCCTCGGATGCCTGCTGCTCAGCGGCGGTTTCGCCTTCCTCCCCCCCGCTCCCCAGCAGGTCAGTCAACACACAGGGACGTAGATCTGGCTGCAGGCATGGATGTGGGAATGCATTCATCTCATGTGGTGCTGTCTGCAGGTGGTGGGCCGTCTGCAGGACCTGAGGGTGAGGGCGCAGAGGCACCAACGGCCCCACATGCAGGCCAAGCAGGACTTCCTCGAGGCGTCCCCCTACTATGACGTGTCCAACATCCCCGTCAACACCTACGGCAAAAAGGCACCCTGCATCGGCAAGGTCGTGAGCGTCAAGAGGATTGTGGGCGAAAAGGCCACCGGAGAGACCTGTCACATCATCATCGACCATGACGGCAAGATGCCCTACTGGGAGGGACAGTCCTACGGCGTCATCCCGCCAGGTCAGGCAGAGCAGGGACGGAACACACAGGCACGGCACGTACACCTGACCTGGGAAGGGTGCACTGCACTCTCATGTCGATGTATGTCTGTCTTGTTGCTTGCCTTGCCTTGCCTTGCCTTGCAGGCATCAACCCCAAGAACGGCAAGCCTCAGGGCGTCCGGCTGTACTCGATCGCGTCCACACGCTACGGCGACGACATGACTGGCAACACGGCCTCTCTGTGCGTGAGGCGGGCCGTCTACAATGACCCCGAGACGGGCGAGGAGGTGCCTGAGAAGAAGGGCGTGTGCTCCAACTACCTGTGTGACGCGCAGCCCGGTGACGAACTCAAGCTGACCGGCCCGGCGGGCAAGGTGATGCTCATGCCTGAGGACAAACCTGCTGCGGACCTCATCATGGTCGCCACCGGCACCGGCATCGCGCCGTACAGGTGAGCGACACCACACACAGCCCCTTCGTCCATCGCCCCTTCGTCCATTTATCCATTCATCTTGCTTCTCTCTCTCTCTCTCTCTCTCTCTCCCTGTCTCCCTGTGTGTGCACGTGTGACTGCAGAGGGTTCCTGCGCCGCCTGTTTGTGGAGCAGACGCCTGCCCGCGACGCTTTCAAGGGCCTGGCGTGGCTGTTCCTGGGGGTGGCCAACAGCGACAGTCTGCTGTACGACGAGGAGTGGCAGTCGATCCTGAAGGAGCACCCTGACAAGTTCCGGCTGGACTACGCGCTGTCCCGTGAGCAGAACAACAAGAAGGGCGGCAAGATGTACATCCAGGACAAGATGGAGGAGTACGCCGAGGAGATCTTTGACAGGATGGACAAGGGCGCACACATGTACTTCTGCGGGCTCAAGGGCATGATGCCGGGGATATTGGAGATGCTCAAGGGCGTGGCTGAGAGCAAGGGCAAGACCTGGGAGGACGTCCTCAAGAGCTGGAAGGAGAACAAGCAGTGGCACGTCGAGGTCTACTGAGCGAGCGAGCGAGCATCCCTCCCAACACTGACTGACCCTCCCTCCCTCCCTCTGTTCGTGTGACTGAATGGGTGTGTGGGTGCATTGCATGCGTATTGCATCGCACTGATGACAGGGGACATACGTGTTGTCATGGATGGAGGATGGAGGAGGGTTTTTTGATGTGCGTGTCCCGCCATGCCCTGCCTTCCCCACCCTTTGCTGTCTCATCTCACCTTGCCTGTCCAGTCCATTCGTGCGCCCTGTCCGTGCGTGTCTGTGTGTGTGTGAGAGGGATTGGGACTCGAGTCAGTAGGGTGGCTGATGGATTTGTTTTCTCCCAGCTCAAGTGTCTCGGCCTCCGCCATGTCCAAGGGCCATGCTGAGATGGAAGTGTGGCCTTTTGACATGGCGCGTGCGGGCAATGGCACTCAAGTCTGGGAGAAGCACCAGATACCACACCACACCACACCACCTGTCAGTCTGTTATCTGTATGTGCATGTGTATGGTATGCACGTGGTGATGGGTCCTGATGCTTTGCCTGCAGTATGTGCACTCGTGTTGTGGCCCATGTGATGACTGACTCCAATGAGCCTCACCATCGCTGCACGGACGCAGGGAACGCATCAAGACACGCACCATCCCCGTCAGAGCATCGTATCGGCCAATCTCTCTCTCTCTCTCTGTTCGCTGCGTACATACGTAACGTCCTTGCTGCACCCACATCCGCACGCACACATGGGAGGGCTGCATGGATTGTGATTGACTGGCGGGCGGGCACATGAGAACGGTGACTGGGAGGGTGGGCGGGGCGGGGTGGTGTGGGGTGGTGTTTCGTGCATGTGTTGGTCATCCATCGGTCTGCGAATGAAGTGACTTGAGTTGAATTTTCACTCGATTGCAAGCTTTCAACCGATTTACAAGATGCACTCACTCAGTTCTCCCAACCAGCCCAGCCGGCGGAACAAAAAGGGTCACTGGCCGGCCCGGCTGGTTGATGTCTTTATATTTGCACACCCGTTCCATCCGTCAGTTGCACCCACCCATCCCAGCAATCCACTGCATCCAATCCACTCAATGCATAATTGATTGCCTAGCTGCCTATGGCCTAGTGGCGCGATACATACCGATATCATCAGACAGACTGATGGCTGCCTACCGCCTGATGGTGCAATGCATCACACCAATTCTGCTGCTGCTGCTGCTGCTGAGCTAACACCGTACAGCCGCTCACTCACCCATGTCTCTCTCTACCGTCTGTCTGTCTAGCTAGCTAGCTAGCTATATGTGTGTATGTGTCTGTATCAGTCGGCGGTGAGTCACTCTCTGGTGACCCTGATGTCCCCCAGGTAGTCGGCATGCACGGCGTCCATCCCACAGGCGGGGCAGCGGAGCGACGAGTACCGACGGACGTCCTCGGGCACTGGTTTGTGCAGCCTCTCCAGCCGGGCCTTCTCCTCTCTCGCCCTGTCGTGGCGGTCCTTCCACTGACGCCAGCACCCCTCACACAAACACTGCTGCTTGCATGGGAACTGCCACACACACACACACACACAGAGAGAGAGAGACAGAGAGAGAGAGAGAGAGAGACATAGAGCGGATGCGTGTGTGTTTGTGTGTGTGTGTCTATGGCGTTTATACGAATGTGATGACGGGAGGGCGCGTGTCATCGCGGCAGGCCACACAGCTGCCGATGGCGGAGCCGGGATTCTCCCTCTCCTGCAGTTCGAGCCGTGCCTCGAGCCGGCTGGCCTCTCGTGAGAGGTCACGCAGGTCCTGCTGGGCCTGCTTGATCTCTCGCTTGAAGGCACTGATGGCCGCAGGGGTGGTCAGGGAGGTAAGCCGGCCCTCGGTCAGCCTGAGACATGGAAGGTAAGACGAGACGGACGACATGGATGGATATGTATACGTGGCCGGCCGGCCGGCTTGTGCGTTGATTGATTTTGTGATGTGAGCACCCTACCCTGTCTCGGCCTGTGTGCGCAGCGAGTGGTGCTCTCTCAGCAGGGGCTGCAGTGCGGCCTCCGCGGCGACGCACTCGACGCTGACACCGTTGATTTGGCTCCCCAACCTGCAGAACAGACCAGACAACCGAACAACGAGGCGTCGGTCATGATGTCTCCTGCCTGCCTGCCCCACGCACGGGCGGCTCACCTGTCGACTTCGCTATTGAGCCCCCGCAGCATCTCCCTGAGCTGCCTCTCCGTCAGCGACTTAAGGGCCCTACCCACATCACCCCTACCGTCCCCTGCCCCATCTGCCGCAGCCACCACACCACCCCCACCGCCAGGCGTCCCCTCTCCCTGCGGCTGCTGCAGGCCGGCGCTGCTTCCTGCAGATGCCGTGCTGGCCAAGTCCGCCTGCCAAGTGTCCTCATTCCGCCGCTGTGGTGATGATGGCAAGGGAGATGGGGAGGAAATTCGTTTTTCGGTGTCGATGGCCTGGTCGTAGAGTTTGTCGAGGCGGTCGTGTTCGGCGGCGGCGCGGGCGTCGAAGTCACGGACCTCTGCTGCGGTCGCTAGGGCGAGAAACGCTCCGCGACTCAAGCTGAGAGGAGGGTGAAGGGGAGCAGACACGTTTGTCGGCCCCGGGTGGCTGTGTGTTTGTAGCTCACTTGTGGGTGGTTTGCCTGAGTTTGTCGATGGCGACCGAGAGCTCCCTCGCCCGGTCGATGGCGCGGTCACGGGACTGACACAAACCGCCGTAGCGGGCCGACAAACTGCATAAAGGCATGTTGGGCAATGACAGCACACAAACCTGGACGAATGCATGGATATCTTGGTGTGGTGTCTGATGGGATGAGCTTACCTCTGCTTCTTTGCGATGGCCTCCCCGACGGCCGCCCTGAGCTGGTCCAGCAGAATGGTCTTCCCACAACTCCTGCACACGATAAGCGACCGATAGACAGAAATACAGACCACTCCCTAACTACCTTGCCTCGGTCCTCTTTCTCTCACCTCTGCGCAGATGTCACCGATGGCAGGTCAGGTGTCGTCACGGTCGAAGCAGCACGATCCGATGCAGTCGTGGACGACACAGGCGGGCAATCGGCAATGCTGGATGACGACGTTGACGCGGGGGTGGGGGTGGGTGGGGCTGGCTGTGGTGCTTCTGGTGCTTGTGGTGGCTGGAATGTGACGGCAGGTGTCTGTGGCAGGGGCAGCTTCCTCACTTTGAGCCTGCCACGAGACACCGGCGTCCACACACCCGCTGTCTCATCATCCTGCTCGGCGGCCGGCCGGGGGCTGTACACCGGAATGGCCACTCTCGCCCCCACTGACGGATTCTCGGCGTTGTCTTCGCTCTCCTCACCCTCCTCTCGCTGCTGGTCGTCATGGCCATGTCCACCTGACGGCTCCTGCTGGTGCACCGCCGTGGCCATCTGACACTTGCCGGCCCTCTCCGCCCTGCTGTTTGCCTTGGCCTTGGTCCGGTTCTTCTGCCTCTCAACCTCTGCCAGCAGCTGAGCCGCAGCTCTCTCGGACCGCCGCTTCTGCGCCTCGATGATGCGATCGGTGACCATCGTGCGGACCCGCCATATGGCAGGAAAGCAAAACACGTGGAGGGCCACCAGGCCCAGAAAGACCAGAAATGCGACCCCCGTCATCTGAAAGTGGCATGCAAAGCACGGGGTAGGATGCACACGTGTACACGTGTGCCGGGCCTGTGTGTCCCCGCCCCAGCTACCCGTGGGAGCCTCATCTCGTCTCTCGGGTGACGCAGACTTGACGGGAGGCGGAAGCGACCCTCGTCGTCGAACATCGAGCCGCCGGTGGCTCCAGCGGGGCTGCAGATAGGTCACACACAGCACATTGGGACATCTGTGTGTCCAGTGTTGCCGGCGTACCATGTCTCGACAGGCTCTACGCGCTGTCTTGGCGGATCGGAGAGAGTCAGCGGACGTGGGCTGGGTCTTGGGTTGTCCCTGGCTGCCGACCTCAGAACAGCTCTGGCCTGCACACACACACACACACACACACACAAACACACAAAACAAGTGACGATATGGGTGGATTCTCGCCCGTTGGTTACCTCGTCGGCCACCCATTTGTCGGCATCATATTGTATCCTCTCGATAGGCAACTTACAGACATCTAGCATGACGACCGTCTTGACCCTGAAGTTGCGCGTGTCCCACTTGGACGGCCACCAGTGGGGAGGAGGGGGAGGGCTGCACACACACATTACACATCACACAGTAACAGTGTGTCTCTCTCTCCCCCTCCGTATGTGTATGTGTGTGTCTGTGTGTACTTAAGGAGGTCATTGAGAGTTCTGAGCATTTCATGCAGCCGCGGTCTGATGGCCAGCAGCTCGGGCAACGGAATGACTCTCCCGTTGGGAAAGGCGGACAGGTAGTGGAGCACCATACACATGTGCTCCACGCCACTATGCTCAACCGTGTGGGTGGCCTGCACACAGACCCATACACACCCACACACACACAGTGCAGTGCCCCCATAAAAGCGTGTTTAGTGCACTCGTTGAGAGGGTACGTACAAGAATACCCTACCGGGATCTCATCTGCCCGGTGCATCATAATGTGCAGCACCCAGCCAGTGATGGCGTGGAAGCGCATCGTGTCGCGCCAAAAAATGGTGGGGCCGTTCTTGGGACTCTTCGTGCTCATCAGCTCCGTGGCCGTCTTGACCATCTCCCGATCAACAATCTGCATGGTGGCTGCCCTCGATGCTGGAAAGAAACACACAGCCTCCGAGATGAGATGCGCTTTGATGGATTTGCCGGCCCTTTCTGTGTATGTGGCTGTGTGTGTGCGAGGTAGGTACTGTACCCATAGCACACCAGCCGATGAGCAACATGGCGCGGCTGTGGTATGTGACGTCTTCAGACAACAGGAGCCGATGCAGCACCGGGACCACTTCCGCGGCCACCATCTGCCGAGCCACTTCCGCGGCCTGCTCCGTCACAGTCAACACAGGACCGTTGGTTGACCCTGATTGACACATGGACACAGACACACAGATTTCCATGAATGTCAATATACGCAACCTTCCCTCTCTCCCTCTCTTCCTCTCTCCCTCTCTCTCTCTCTGCGCTGTGCGCGTGTGCGCCCACCGGCAAAGAGCCCCATGGCTGTCATGACGGCCGCCTCAGCCACCTCCCGGCTCTTATGTTCCATCAGCTCCACTACTTGCCCCACGGGGGAAGCGCGGCCAAGCTTGAGCAGGCTGTCCAGGTGCCCAGGCGCATTTTGCCAGGCCGTGAGCCGCTGGAGTGTGAAGAGGAGCATTGTGATGGTGCCGGACTGCCAGGCCGCCCCTGGCGGCGCGTCCAAGTGGCGTTCGACGTCACGCCAGGGGGACCCCGCATTTCGCCGGAACCAGCTCAGCAGAAACCCACAATGTGAAATGACCTCTCTGAAAAGATCAGTGAGCCAACGGAAACAGAGATACGTCCATCCATCCATCCATCCACGTACTTGATGAGATGTGGAACGGCCGCGAGATCCATCCCGGATATGAGGTCGTGCAGCGCCTCGGTCGCCTCATACTGCACCTCGGGATCGTCGAAGTCGGTGCACCGCCGCAGCAGGGCCATGGCGACAGCATGATGCGTCCCAGGGAAGGCGCCGTGGACCGTTGGCAGGTGGGCAGCTCGTCCATCAGGATGCGACATGTTTGCGTGGAGCCACTTGATGCCATCGAGCTGCCGCTGCCGGTCCTCGCTGTCCCGGAGGAACGTCAGGACGTGGGAAACGATGTGGCCGCCCGCTCTCTCCTCAACGTCCATCTGGGCAGATCGTTGCGACGAAAGGGCTATATGAAGCATTGACAAGCTCATCATCAGACGAAGTATGAACCGCATGGCGAGGAAAAAATCCCAGTTTGTCCCAAGTTTACAAAGGCGATCAGGGGTGCAAGGGTGCTCTCCTGTGCAACAATGAATGCTTATGTGAGAATACACAGCTGCTATCGGTTTGGTCAGTTTGTCCGAACGCATTCACTGAGCACCGCACGCCTCCATGCACCACCACACGTCCAGAGCCCGACGTGGAGACGTGCAGAAGCCAAACAACATGAAGCAGACAAACCAACCAACCAACCAACATGCCAGCAGTGCCACTTCATCCCATGCCACCACCTCCCTCCCGCCATCCCGCCTTCCCACCCTCGCACACACAGACGTACATACACACAACATGGGTTCCTACCTAAATCGGCATATATCAGAAAGCTGCCCTAGCTAGCTACGTGCGTCAGTCACACAGCGGGAAGACAACACATGTATGGAAAAAAGTGCCTCGTGTCCGGATGGATGATGGATGGATGGAGGAGTAAGTGGGGTAAGTACAACGCGTACAGGCACAGACAGGACTTACTTACAGGACTGCTGCAGGCAAGGGAGGCAAAAAAGGCGCCTGCCTTTGCTTCGATCGAATCGTGTTGGTGACCCAAAAACAACAACACAAGATAGACAGACACATGGATGGGATGGGATGGGATGCCAATCAAGTAACCTACCCACGTGGGCAGAGAAAGACACGAAATGAACTGCTGTGTGTGTGGTGTCTGTATGTCTGTCTGTCATGATCGGTTCTGTATGACGAAAGACCGACACACGACACGCGGCACAGCACGGCCTGCCTCGATATACACCCGATTGTCGGCCACACTGCGAAGCTCCGCACCACTATGAGCGAAGTGACAGTCTCGCCCAAAGTTGCAGCGCACGTGGTACCGGCACATGCGGGTATTGTAAAGCTCTCCGGGGCCTGCCATGCCATGCATACACACACACAGATGGATGCACACATAACTAACACCCGTGCAAGTGATGAGTACTGACTGCATAGCTTGTACCCTTTGCCGGTCGTCGGATGGGTGTACGCGTCGTCAGCGGCGGGATCATGTGAGGCGGAGGTAGCGTCGGGGGCCGCAACCATGCACTGGATGACGGCGTGCTTACCGAGCTCGACGGCGTGCTTACCGAGCTCCTCAGTGCAGGAAACTCGACCGCGTATCTGTAGCTGCAGCGACGCGGCACCTGTGCAGGCAGGCCGTCACAGAACACGCATATATATGCAGACAAATACTCCAACCGACAGCCAGGCACGCACTCCCTCCCTCAAAAGTCACCTGTCGATGGACGGTTCGTGGAGGAGGTGAGGGTGGAGGCGAGTCGAAGTCCATGTCCATCGACGACAGACGCATGTAGACGAAGGGGTTGGTGTCGTCGGTCTCGTCTCGCTCAACACGGGTGCGGGCGATGCGGCCGCTCGCCGCATGCTGCTTGCGGCAGTACGGGCATTTGCCTTGGCTGTCGATGCAAATCTGACACACACAGCGGGCAGACAGACAGACAGACGGACATACAGTCAGTCAGATGGGACTGAGTACTCATCAGCTCACCTTATGGCAGCCCTTGCAGATGGCCTGTGAGCAGCATGACGTCACCGTCCTCACAGAGTCTCCGTCGCCTGCCCGGCCGTCCGCCTTCTGGTACGCCTCTCCACAGATGGGACAAGACTCCTCGCTGCTCGCCGCCGAGGTGTGGGTGATCACGGGGTTGGGCGATTGGACGCTGGCATGGCTGCTGCTCGACTGGGATACTCCCATGCTGCATGCGCTGCCAGATCTCACCCCCAACAATCAGTCAAAGCCGCGTGAAAAAAAGCTGTCCCGCGCATCGGTCAGGCGTAGGCGTCTAAAAGAGTAAGTAGGAATGAAGGAGGAATTCCTTTCACGGTCGATTGAGCCGCTCAAACGAATGGGCAAGAGAAGAGGACGTAAAACAAAACCACGTGGGAGGAGGCAGGGGAAGAAAGCAAAGGTTTGCTGCCACGATGGGTCCGCCACTGGTACAGGTTGCGCCAATGATTGATGTCACGTAAGAACAGACACGACGAAACACAGACTCGTTTGCCTGCACATGAGGGTGTGTGTGTGTGTCCTTCCTTGCCGTGCCTTCGCAGCGATGTTCACTTCCGGAAGTTCATGAGCCTCTTCTCCCGCCGCAGCCAACTGTGGACAGGTAGATAGAGCAACCTCCGCTGACAGACAGACACGACAGGGGACACACAGTGACATTTGGGTCCCTCTTTGCGCTTCATGCCGACAGAGATGGTCGTGGAGAATGCTGTCCGCTACAACCTGCATGGCCCGACCGTGCGGGACGCAATCGGTAAGCAAACGCCGCACACAGAAGGGAACAAACAAACAGCACACGGCAAAACTAAGCTTGTACGGTGTGACTCCACAGCTCTGGCAGACATCGAGAACCCCTCCGTGTGCCAGCTAGGCGGCAGCGACCCCGCTGCCTTGGCCGACGCCGCGTCAATGGTCGTGCGTGAGTGGGGCTATCGTGAGATCAACCTCAATGTGGGCTGCCCCAGCGACCGTGTGGCTGGCCAGGGGTGCTTCGGCGCCGCCCTCATGAAGGAGCCAGAACTGGTGCGGGACATCGTAAGCACCATCAGCAGACAGGTGAGGGAGGGGGCGAGCGGGGAGGGGGTGTAGGTGGCTATACCGTGGCTATGTGTGCTGTCTGTGTTGCTCAGGTGGGCCCTGAGGTGACTGTGACGGTCAAGACCCGGCTGGGCGTGGATGAGTTCGAATCGTACGACTTCGCCAAGGGCTTTGTACAGGTAGGTCAGCAGACGCCACGCCCTCCCGGTGCCATGCCGTGTCAAAGCTTTGTGTGTCCACGTTTGTGTCAATGTGTGTGTGTTGCCGACAGACGGTGTCCGAGGGCGGTTGTCGTCACTTTATCATCCATGCCCGCAAGGCGTGGCTCAGCGGCCTCGACCCACACCAGAACCGGACCATTCCGCCACTGCACTACGACAGGGTGTATCGCTTGGCCCGCGACTTTCCTCACATTGACTTCACTCTCAACGGAGGCATCACCTCACTCGACATGGTATGGTCGGTCCGTTGGCCGGCCACACATGCACTGCACGCCCCACCAACACGCACACAGCGTCTTGTTCTCCCTCTGGCTGGCCATTTCTAGGCTGAGGACGCCCTGCACGGCCGGTGGCGGAGCGCCACTCCCCCGCCGGATGAAGAGGAGATGCTGATGCAGGAGCTGCACAAGATGCGGGGGCCGCGGCCGCTGCGGGGCGTCATGATGGGGCGGGCGCCGCTCAACAACCCCTGTGTCATGGCAGATGTCGATCGCCGCTTCTATGGCGAGCTCAACCCACCCACCACCAAGTCACGCAGAGTGCTGCTCGAGGCAAGCTGACAGCACACACCCACCACAGACAGACAGACAGACAGACAGACCGACAGACACAGAGACGCATATTGCCTTCGTGTGCAGGCGTATCTTGATTGGGTCGATCGCGAGTACCCCGAGTGTCTGGGTGTGTATGGCCTTCACTGGAGGGTCATCAAACCAATTATCGGTCGGTCAATCACACACCGCCCACAAAACCATTATGTGTCTCATCACATCCGTCCGTCGTGCATCTTTCTCCCTGCCAGGCATCTTTGCTGGCCAGTCGGGCCACAGGACCTTCCGCTACCACATCGACGTCATATCTCGCGGCGAGAGCGACCGCCTCAGCGCCTCAGAGATCATCCGCAAGGCCATGGACATTGTCGACGACCACTCGCCCCATGTCCTGGACCAGCCCATAGTCGACCCTGGGGCCCCCGCCCTCCCCCTCCCCCTACGCCCAACCAATGGCAAGAACCGCGCCGCCCAGGCGGACGAATGGGAGATCGACGAGGTGGCGGCCATCCTTGCCAAGGGGCCGATGAAGATCCGGCGCAACGCCCCTGACTTCCTCTCCAAGGCTTCGCAGAAGAAGCGGGAACACGAGAGGCGGAAGATGTTCCGGGAAGGCAAGCTCAGCGGCCTCGCTGAGACGGAAACGATGCAGGAGAGCACGGTGTGTGAGTGTGTGTGGGAGATAGAGGGGGAGAGGGACTTTAATGGTGAGAGTGAGGTGAGGACGGTGGGGTGTCAGTTCGGTCGGCCGATGAGTGGTGTGGATGGGTGTGGGGTGCCGGGAGATGAGCTGGACAGCCCTGCGTCGAGCAGCAGTGGGTGCGGCACCGACACAGGTAGTGGCTCGACCCGCACCAAGGCGGGGGGGACAGAAGGGGAGGAGTTTTGACGCCATATATTGACTACTACGTGTGAGGTGTGTGTTCGGGGTGAATCTGTACAGCGTGATGGCATGTGTGATAGACAGACATCTGTGCCGTGCGTGCAATACGTGTGTCGACCGTTCGACCAGGGACTCGGAGAAATCAATCTTGCATCGCATCGTGTGTGTCTATACAAAGACCTCATGCAAACCAAACCCTCATTGTATTACCTCCCGTCCTCTCCTCCCGCCCGCCCGCCCTGCCTTGCTGGGAAGGTGGGCAGGGGTTGGATAAAGAACAGTGTGGTCTTGTCGCGGTCATGAAGAAGCCCTCCTTGACTTGACGATGTGCAGCACAGACAACCGCTTCCAGTCAGTCGTGATACGCATCCATCGTCCACAAGCGATTCTCAAGATGGCGGTTGAGTTGACTTACAAGACCTCGGACCATACCATTTCACTTGTCTTGCTTGAGAACACTGTGGTTGACCTGAAGAGCACCACAGACAAATCGGACGGGAGGATGAGATGAAGCACAGAAGGGGACGGACAGGCGTACACACATCACATTCACAGATGCAGATCGGTAGGCTAGGCAGGTGTCACTCTCTGCACCGCGTCTCACTCACTCACCACAAACAGTTTGCCCATGCTTTCCTCCGAGTATGTGTTGATGTCGCGGCAGTAGTTCTGAATCTGACTCGAGATCAGCAGGCTGTCCATCGGATTGTACTGCAGTGCACACACACATCCATCCATCCACCCGCTGTCGACCTCTCTGTGTGTCTGTCCTCCCCACCACACTGACTGACCCTTCTGTCCATGTAAGGTCTTGGTTGCCTCTTGTCGAGGAATTGTCGCTTCGACTCCTCGGAGGCCAAATCGTCCAGACAGTCTATCAACGCAGACCTACACACCACACACACACAACACACACACAAGCATCCCATGGTACGGTGTGAGGTCTCTCCTTCTCTCCCCGTGTGTGTTGTGTGTGTGTTGTGTGTGTGTACTCACAGGTTTTTCTGCATGTAGGCTGAGTTGTCGAAGTCGAGTGTGTCTAGGTCGACGGATGACTGGAAGGGGTCGCCCAGGACGTTGTCGACCAGGAAGGCCTCCACCAGCAGCGGGTTGTTGATCGACAGCGGCACCTCCTCCAGCAAATTGTCGCACTGCAGCTGCTGCAAATTCATGCCACTATTGGACACACACACAAAGACAAACAAAGACACCCATGGAGCGAATGACACACTGGAGATCCTGCCGTGTGTGTGTTGTCCTCTTTATGTCTTCCTTACAGAGGCTGCCCGCGTTGGTTGGCTTCCTTCCGCCGCTTGACCAGCTCATCGGTCACGCGGAAAGCCTTCACACACACACACACACACACGTGCCGACAGTCATAGCAAGCCAAGCGGCTGTGTGTCGGCTGTGTGGTCGGGTGGGACATTCATTAATGAATACCCACCCTGAATGCGAGTCTGCCTATGGCGTTCTGCAGCGGGTCGAAGACGAGCACCACACACTTGTCGTTGATTTTCTCCTGGTAGCCGATCTGCTCCTCCAGCAGCCGCTCCGTCAGGAAGTGGGACAGGTAGGTGCTCGTGTACCAACCCACCGTGTTGGCATCAACATTCACCTTAATTTCACAACACACAACACACATCCAATCCAAACAATGGCTGGGCTGCCCGCCTGTCTGTCTGTTTCCTCGGTGGCTGTGTGACGTGACCCCACCCCTCATTACTTAAGAGTGCCGACTGACTGACCTCTCTGAGTGCCTTCATCATCTCGAGAGAGTACTGGCTGTCCTGTGTGGTGTCGCCGCTCTCGATGTTCCTCTCTGGGGTGGCGAAGCTGTGGGTGACCTGCAGCACGGCTCCCACGTCCAGACCCATCAGCTTGCCGCTCGCACCCGTCTGGTCACGCGCATGCTTCATTATCTTCAATATCACCTGAGGGAGGGAACGAACGGACAGCCGCACAACACACCACACATACAGACCAACACACACACACACAGACATTAGCAGGGAGGGATCTGTCACGGTGCAGCTGCCTTCCCCCATCCGTCTACGTGTTGATCATCGTGCATCCCTTGTGCCACGTGCCCAGTCGGCTCACCAGTGCGTCGACCTCCACCCGCTGCAGACCTTGGCTGCGGTCTTGACGGGACAGCTCACGCGACATTCTGCCTGACCAGATTACGCGCGAGGGGGTCAGGGGAAGAGATTCGCCTCTAAGCTCGCAGCTAAGCTCGCAGGCGTTTGTGAGAGCTGTACGCTGCCCCGTGGCCTGTGGTGCAGTCCGCTTCTCCAGCCCCGGCCACATCGCCCTGTGTGTTGAAGGCTCTGCAAAGGCAGATCACTTGAAGTGGCAATGGCGGAGGTGAGCCACTCGGTGAGCCACTCGGCCATTCCTGCAGAGGTGCTGGGCGCCCCGTCGCTGCCCGACTCGCTGCCGTCGACCGAAACGCTCGGCAAGGCCACGGCGCGGCAACGGAGGTCCCGCGCGTCGCTGCTGCGGTCGGGGTGGGAGGCCGGCGGCCAGGCGGTGCTGCAGTGCGGGGGCAAGTTCTACACACGGCTGAGGAAAGAATATGGCACTGAGTTCCTCATGCTGCTCTCTAACGTTTGCCTGGGCGTCAAGGGCATCATCTACCAGGTGGGGCCGACTGGACAGTCGGCCGAGGCGCGGCGCACAGAGACCGTGTCGGACATGTGCCGTATGTATTGTGGGTTGTGTGTTTCAGTACTTGATGACGGTTGGGCTGCCCTACTTCAAGTGGCTTGGTCTGGATGGCGTCAAGTACCAGACCAACTTCACCATTGCCTGGACGCCCTGGGCCATGAAGGGTGGGTCGGTGCGAAAAAGCCGACAGAGCATCCAACCAACTAGACTGACTCTTCGTGTGTGTGGTTGTGCAGGCATTTTCGCCTCGCTGACAGACGCGTGGCCCATCGGTGGCTATCACGCAAAGTGGTACATGTTCATCGCCAATGTGCTGGGCGTCGCCGGCCTCCTCGGACTTGCCGTGTTGCCGAGAGAAAGTATGTATGTCGCAGCTTTAAAGCGTGGCTAGCTATCGATAGCAGACAGACAAGGCAAGACGTCTGTCTGTGTGTGTGGTTTGTGTCTGTTGTGTCCTTCCTTTGTGTGTGTGTGTGCAGCTGCGAGGACGCACGTGTGGATAGTGGGCGCGTTCTTCTTCATGGCGCAGGTGCAGGTGGCCGTCCAAGACATGCTTCTCGATGGTGAGTGAGCCTGGGAGGGAGGCAGTGACGCAATGCAATGGGGACCAAAGGCAGTCAATCTGTGCACGCCACGCCGTGTGTGTTTGCAGGCAAGTACACGGAACTGATGGCCATCTCGGGCCGAGGGTAGGAAGGAACCGCACCCCCCACCCAGCCCCCCACCACGACAACCAAGCGCAAACCCCCTTCCCTCCCTCCCTCCCTCCCTCCCTCGCATCGTTGTGTCCATTTGTCAGGAATGAGATCGTGACGTACGTGTGGTTCATGAGCACGGTGGGCAACATGATGGCGAGCGCCACTGTGGGGCCCATCAGCGACTCGGTTGGGCCGGGGCTGGTCTTCTGGATCGCACTACCCATCGCACTCCAGACGGCATACCCCATACTAAGGGGATGGATGCCAGAGGAGAGAGTCCCCCCACCCAACGGATCGAAACTGCAAGTAGGGAGGGGCGGGCACACAAACAGATAAACAGACGAATGGCTGATTCTGTTACACACGTGTGTCTGTGTGTGTGTGTGTGTGTGTCTCACAGGTAGCGAAGGTGAAGTCTGAGTGGCGGACATTCGCCATGGGCTGCAGCACAGGCGTGGCTGCGCTGGGGCTGGCCATCGTCGGTGAGACTGACACGCACACACACACAGACATATTTGCAGATGGAGACGAGTGCAATGGTCTGGTGGGGTGGCCATGTGTGCAGGTGCGGCGTTCTCCCCCTTTGTGCAGCTGGTGTACACGCTAAGTGTGTCAGTGGTCGTATCGATTCTCTCGTGCTTCCTCTGCAAGAGGGAACAGGCCACAACCAACCTCTACTTCCTGCTATCAGGTAAACAATCACATCCACACCCGCTGCAGCTGCACCTGGCTGGTGCTTCCTTGATAAACGTGTCTCAGTGTCGCTGTATGTCCAAATCCCCGGGGCGATCGACTTCTGGTACACGGCCGACCCGTCCTGTGTGGCGGACGGGCCTCACTTCGACTTCACCTACTACCAGACAGTCTCGCAGCTGGTGGGCAACGTGGCGCAGGTGGCCGGCATCGTCCTCTTCCAGCTGTGCGTGAGGAACTGGCGATTCCGGACGGCCTTCTGGGTCACCACCGTTGTGCGGATCGTGGCCTCGTGCGTGGACCTGCTCATCATCCAGAGGGTCAATGTCCGCTTCGGCCTCCCTGACAAGGCCGCGTTTATCCTGTAAGTGACCAGACCACCTGGTGGGGTGGCTGCGAGGGTTGTCATGCGTCCGTCCCATCTGTCTGTCCTTCTGGCTGTGTGTAAATGAATGTATTTCAGTGGCGATGCGATGATCCTCAACCTTGCGCAGATGCTTGATCTGATGCCCGCCATCCTGCTGACGTCCAGGCTGACGTCGCCCGCCATGGCCACCACCTCATTTGCCGTCCTCGCAGGGTTCTTCAACTTTGGCATGAACGCGTCACGCGCCCTCGGCACCTTCATGATCGACTGGTTCGGCGTCAAGACGGCCGAAAGCGTACGCTAGCATGTTGATGCACTCATATACCCTCCCTCATCTGACTGCCGGACGGACCCAACGCCTGCAATGGTTGGCCTCGTGTTGTGTTGTGTGTAGCACACTGGCGTGGGTGCGTCAGCCGAGGAGTGCGACTTCAGCAACCTCTCCTGGCTCGTGCTGGTGGCGCACATCATCCTCCCGGCCCTGTCCATCCCCCTAGCTTTCTTCCTGATCCCCGACCTGCCCATCAACGGCCCCTTAGAGACACAACACGCGTCCGCCTCACGGCAACTCTCGGCGAGCAGCCTGGCCGACGAGGACACCATGGCGGGGGGCGGGCTGGACGAAACCGACGACCAGTATACAGACGAGGAGAGCACCACCGCTGCTGCTGCTGCTGCTGTTGCCGGAAAGCGGACCAGTGATGAGCCGACAGCGCGTCAGAATGAGCAGCACCACGAGACGGCGCCGACCGTGTTGGCGATAGAGATGGAGGAGATGGCGCTGCGTGTGCCGATGGGGCTGTGTGTGGGGTCGTCGTCAGTGATGCCGCGGACGCCACGGATGGCCACTGAGGAGGGGGGCGATCGGGGTGCGGGGGACTGAACACGTGAGGGCAAGTGTTTTTCTCTTGCAAAGCCTCACGTTTCGTTTTTGTGTGTAGAGAGAAGTGTGTATTGTGATGTGGATATACATACGTGTAAGTGTACAGTCGTGTGACTTTGTGCGGTGAGTGAGATGTCTGGTGGTGACGTGCGACGGTGTGTGGGGACACGATGGATGCCAACGTGTTCATCGCCAACGCGGCCCATGCGCTGTTGGAGAAGGAGGGGTGGAAGGGTCGGGGATTCAGTCATGTGTCTGGATGGATTTGCTCGCTTTTTGTCTGTGCGCGGTAGCTGTGTGGCTTGGCAGGCAGGCATGTTTTGTCAGCGCCGTTGAGCGTTTCACGTGCCTGTCGATATGTTTCTATCTGTAGACGCGTGGCTGGCTGAGATATGGCAGAGTCCCATAGGATGGAGAAGGGACATACCGGGCGAGGCTTCCAGACGCCATTATTTCGGCTGCATGCCCACAATTCTGGGCGATCTGTCTGTAACAACACGCATGGGAGCTGCATCGTCCTTCAGCTCTGCTCGGTGACTGCAGAGTCAAAGCATCGGAAGATCCATGGACACCGGCGCCTGTTCAGCGACTTTGCTTCAAGAGGCCTCCGACGAGTACGCGAGTGGCATGCTTGTGGACTCCCAGAGCTCCGATGTAGCCAATAACAATTACATCAAGGCTGCCAAGATCGCTCCCGATGGGTCATCGGTTCTCTCTGCCTCGGAAGACACACTTCTGCGGCTGTATGCGCTGGACCAAGGCAAGCCGTCCATTACTGATATGTTGCCGCAGAGAGCAGGGAAAGTCATGACCACCTTTGTCTGTCATGCAGAGGCGCTCAATGCCGAGAGGGAGCGGCGAGCAACAGCTGGTGGCTCAGACGCCAAAGCTGCTGCGCTGCGGCCGTGGACTTGTGCCTATGAGGGCGAGTGCATCTTTGACTTCGCGTGGTACGCAGAGGAACGAACGAGCACGGTGCGCACCGAATGATTGTGGTTGTGTCTGGTCTGCAGGTATCCCCTGTTTGCGGCCGATGATCTCAGCTCAGCGTGCTTTGCGTCCACTTCACGAGGCCATCCTGTAGGATAGGAGGGAGGATTGAAGAACCGACACACAACTCTGACTGACGACCATGTGCTGTGCTGTGCATGCCTTGCCTTTTGTCAATCAATGGCCTGCGTCAGATTCATCTGTTCAACGCCTTGGATGGCTCTCTGCGGACATCCTATCTGCCCTACAATGCATTCAGCCACGAGCCAGAAACAGCCCTCTCCCTGGCATTCCATCCCCAAGGGCAGGTGCTCTTCGCCGGCTCACGGAGCTGCGTCAAGGTCTTCGACGTCATGAGGCCCGGAACACAGATTGAGGTGGGTCTCCGTGACACACCGAAGATCGTTGGTCGGAGAGCTTCAATGGGGTGTTTGGTGTATGTGTATCAATCACTCGTCAGGATCGGCTGCTGGCCACACGGCGGAAGGCTGAGGGACAGCGCGGCCTCGTCTCGTGCTTTGCTTTCCCCACTGCCCCCTCATCGGCTGACGAGAAGCTCTACGCCGTCGGCACATACAGTAAAACGGTGTGCATCTACAGCGAGGAGCATCAGGGAGCCCGGCAGCCCGTGTGCTGGCTTGAGGACGCCGACCAGCCGATGGGGGGCGTCACGCAACTGGCCTGGGTCGGGGACCATCATGTCGTCAGCGGCCACCGGCAGGACCGATGCATGAGGCTTTGGGTAAGGATCGATCGGGACACATGTGGCCGATAGGGAAGCACGTATGTGTGTGTGTGTTGTCTTGTGCTGGTTGGTTTGTTGGTGTTGTTGGTTTCTCAGGATCTTCGCAAGCCGGAGGCCGTGCTGCGTCGGTTCCCTCGTGTGACCACCACGTGTCAGCGCTTCCGGTTCGACGTGTGTGTGCGCAAGGGGCAGACTGTGGTCGCTACGGGAGATCTAAGCGGTCGTGTGTCCCTGTTCGATCTCAACACCGGCGAAACCATCAGCCGCTTCCAGGCCCATGCGCGAGCCGTGAGTGTCAAGTGACGACGGAGCACTCCACAACGCATCGCATACATTATGTGTGTTGTGCATTTCTTCTTGGCGTTGTGTCAGTGCACAAGTGTGGGATTCCATCCCTCTGCGAACTATGTCGTCACGTCTTCCGGAGAACGGCTCTTCCCATCGTTGACGCACCTCGCCTCGAGGGACGACCAATCGGCCGCGGCCGCTGCAGAAGATGAGAATATGGCGGAGTCAGAGAGCGGGGAAGACGGCAGCCCTCCAGCGAAGAGGCAGCGACGGTCGACAGATGGGCCGCAGCCGGCAGAGGGCTCGAGTGCAGCATCACAGCCGCTCAACTGCATCCGGGTGTGGCAGATCCACTGGGGGGGAAGCGAACCACAGGAAGGCACGACGGTCACTGCAGAGAAAGACACTGCAGACGGAGAGACGGGCGGCGCGGCGTGTTCGTGACGTTCGTGAACGCGACGCCGATATTGTAGTTGTGGTAGATGGCGTTGGTTGGTTGGTTATTGTGTTTAACGAGACTCGTATCGTGGTCTTCCGCCTTCATTCTTCATGCGAGCTCAACCCTTCAGTCTTCGAAACCCTAGTGTTGCCTCAACAAACCCATTCTCCACCCCTCCTTCTACTTCACCTTTCTGCATCAGCGCTTGTGCAGTCGCTGTTGGTGCGTTGCACTCTGTCCGATCTCCGATCAGATCAACTGTCCGTTCGTCCACCGTTCCATCGTCTTCCTCACTTCAGCAGCTTCTTCCGTTCTTCACAGGCCATTCTCTCCCCTGCTGAGTGCGCGATGGAGACGGCCTGATCCATGCTTCTTCCCTACTGACCCGGCGTGTGTGCTGTGTGGTGACAAGTTCCGACCGACGGCGGCAGCATGATGAGAGCCTCTTATCGTCAGGGCTGCGCTTTATCGGCGTTTATCGTGGTCATTGTGTGCGGGCTGTTGGGTTTGAGTGCGGCTGCGGGTTTTGCTGACGGCTCCTACTCCTCCCCCGAGGCCACGCACCTCGTCCTGCATGAGGGAGAGGAGGCGCGACCAGACGGTGAGTGGAGTGGCAACACACATACACACGAGGGGATAGATGTCCGTTGTTTCTTGTCGCCATGCATTCCATCCATCTTTCTATGCTTCCGTGTGTGCAGATGATGTTGGTGCCGGCCTTCAGGACCGCGTGTTGGAGTGTGACGTGGTGGTGGTCGGCGGTGGGTCGGCCGGCACATCGGCAGCTCTGGCTGCAGCGAGGAGTGGCGCCAAGACTGTCCTCATACAGTCCAGGTAAGAATCAATCCAGTGACTCAGTCATGCGCTGGACAGTATCCCCATTCCCTCTCTCTCTGAACATCCCTGCTGCCTGGCTGGCTGCCTTTCTGCCTTTCTGCAGGGGTGTGTTGGGCGGCAACGCCTCATCCGAGTCCAAGCTGCACATGGTGGGTGCCGACAAGGAGGGCGGGCGAGGCCACCTGATGAAGACCGAGGCCCGCGAGGGCGGCATCGTCGAGGAGTACACCGTCCGCAACTCGGTCGAGAACCCGCAGCGCAGCGTGGAGCTCCACGACCTCACCCTCTACAAGCTCTTCCGCGAGGAGCCCAACGTGCAACTGATCCTCAACGCACCCATGGTGTCGGCCGTCAAGGAGTGGGAGGAAGGCAGCGGCGGCTGGGTGGTCAAGCAGGTCACTGCTGAGAACCAGGAGGCACAGGTGCGATACATCGTCAAGGGCAAGGTCTTCATTGACGCCACGGGGGACGGGAGGCTGGGAGCGGAGGCGCACGTGCCTTACATTATTGGTGAGGGGAGGAGACCGATGCGATGAGTGTCTCTCTGTAGGATGGTCGAGTCGAGGTGTGAAAGCACTTCTTGTTCTTTCTGTGTGTGTGCCTTAAAGGTCGCGAGTCGCGTAGCCACTTTGGTGAGAGTCTGGCTGAGGCGCGGTCGGACAACGAGACGGAGGGCAGCTCCTTCGCCTTCACCTCACGTGACTACGGCCGACCGATGACATTCACAGCACCAGAGTGGTCAGTGAGACAGAACCCCCCCGGCCCCCTCCCTCTAAGGACTCCAAGCGATGCCACTTCTCTCTCCTCTGTCTCTCAGGGCGATGAAGTTCACATCGTCTGATTTCAAGTATCGTCCGATCCACAGCGACATCCTGGACTACGGCTACTGGTGGATCGAGGTCGCCTGGCCATACAGCACCATACGCGACAACGAGGCCATCCGCGACAGGCTGCTCGAGGCCGTTCTCGGCATCTGGGACTACATCAAGAACAGCGGCAACTTCCCGGAGGCTGAGAACCTCGCACTCGACTGGATCGAGTGGTGGCCCTGCAAGAGGGAGGGCCGCCGGTTCCGTGGCCTGTACATCATGACGCAGAACGACATCCTCCCCGACCCCAAGCAGAAGCCCCCGCCCGCCCCGATGCTTTTCGATGACCGTGTGAGCTACGGTGGGTGGAATCTGGACCTGCACAACCCCAAGGGCATCTTCGACACATCGAGGCCGGCGTTCGCGTCTCACCGGCTGCCTTATCTGTACAGGTGAGGCAGTCCCACCCACACACAAACCCTCCCGCTCTCTGTGACTTTGTTGTGTGTCTGACGCGTGTGTGTGCAGCACTCCGTTGCGGTCGCTGATAGCCCAGAATGCGACCAACCTGATGCTGGCGGGCCGCCTGGCCTCCTTCAGCCACGTGGTTTTCGGCAGCCAGCGAGTCATGAAGACAGCCGCTGCAAGTGAGGAGTGACGCGCATGGCAGCAGACACACGTGCACGATGCTATGTCGTCTGTGTGCGTTGCAGTGGGTCAGGCGTCGGGCACAGGTGCAGCCTACTTCGCGCTCCACGGCATCCCCCCGGCGGACGTCGGCGGTCACCCCGACGGTGTGTGGAGCATCCAGCAGCAGCTGCTGCGGGACGACCAATACATCATCGGCATGTACAACCAAGACCCTCGCGACCATGCTCTGCGCGCAGCGGCAGTCAAGGCGTCTTCTTTCGTCGCTAACGAGACCTTCGACGGACGCCCACAGCTGGTATGTGTGCTGGACAGGCACACGCAAACCAGGCGCAGCGGAAAAGGGCATCCGTGTGTGTGTGCAGGTGGTGTCTGGTCAGACGCGTGCTGTTCATGGCTATGGCGGTGCGGCCCCGTCTCAGCGGAAGGAGGGCGTGCAGCGTTGGGTGAGTGAAGCTCTGCCCGCGTGGATCGCACTCGAGTGGACCACACCCATCACAGACATCGCACAGGTAAGGTAGCTGTCTTGTGTAGTGTAGCGTATATCTGTCCATCCATCCATCCATCCATCGGCACATTGGACGCCTGTCTCGTGTCAGGTTGAGCTGGTCTTTGACACCGGGATGCATCGCACGCTGATGCTGTCGATGATGCTTCGCGACCAGCACAAGATGGTGTGGGGCCGCCCGCAGCCAGAGACCGTCAGGGACTACTCCATCGAGGCGCGACTGGCGGCCGGTGCCGACGACCAGTGGCGCCAAGTCATAACCGTCCAGGGCAACTTCCAAAGGAAGCGAAGGCACAACGTCGCACGGCAGATGGCGCAGATCGATCCACAAAAGGTCCGCCGTGGCGATACGAGCTGGTGTGGCACATGTGGCTTTGTGTGGAATGCCTGTGCGTCCGTCTGTTTGTGTGCGGATCGGATCTGTTAGGTTGGTGTGGAGTCCCTGCGGCTGGTGGTGAGTGCGACCAATGGCATCCCGCACGCACACGTCTTCGAGATACGCGTGTACGGGAAGGACGGCCTCACCCCTTTCCCGGCCAAGCCGCAACCACAGCAGCAGCGGCCGAGAAGGGAGACCAAGCTATGGATGCGATAGCTGACATGGCTTAGAAGATGTCCTGCTGAATGAAGAAACGTGTACCCACCAATCGGGGGGGTCAAGACAGCAGTGGATGCTGCCGCCGTGTGACCGAATCGCCCCCTCACTGACTGCATTAGTTGTTCTTTTCTCGAAGTGTCGTTTAGTGGCATACGCCTGTGTGTACATGTGTGTGTGTGTCTGTCGGGCGTTGTCGGTACCCGCCCGCCCCAATTCGACAAGCGTTTTTCTGGAGTGTGCGTGAGGAGAGGGGTGCGTTGTGTGTGCGTATAAAGCATGTGGGGATCATCAGCACTGCATGGCATGAGCCATCGACGGCTCACGTCATGTATGTCATTTCTTCGAGTGCCCGTGGGTGAAGTGAGAAGTGCACGCAGCAGGTAGTGTTTGTGCGTCAAGGTCGGTACCTAAGGGAGTTTTCCTCATGACGCGGTGCGCGTCATTTTGCATGGTCGCTTGTTTCGTCTCCTGGCTATGACTGATGAGAGTTTTCGGCGCCTTCCTTTGCCTGCCGCCCGCACAGACACACACATGCGCGGCTTCTTCCGGGCGCTCTCTCATCGACCATGTCTGATTGTATATACCACACACGTACGTCAGGGGAGTCGGTCTGGCGCACACAGGTGCTGTGCATGTCGGTCTCTCTCTCCCTCTCCCTCTCCCTCTCCATCTGCGGGTGTGTGCGGTCTTGTGCTTGAGTGTTCGTGCGTGTCCGTGTGTGTCCGTGTGTGTGCGTGTGTGTGCGGGTGTGTGTGTGTGATACTTAAAGGGCCGGCCCTCGTCTGTCATGCAGGCTGCAGCAGGCATGACGAGGGTATGCCCGGCCGTATATGTGCGAGCGTGTGGCGGCGGATTCTATACTAGTTCTACACGGTTGACAAAATAATAACACTGTGGGCTGCATCCCGCACTTGGACGCTTCCCTCCCTGTCTCTGTAGAGGTAGCGTTGGGTCTCATGCCGCAACGGCGAGGAACGCCTTCGGATCAGCTTGGAATGTGGAGATGCATAGAAGCGGGGAACAACTTGGATACCTTTACGAGGCATTGGGCGACTTGGATGATGCAAATCCCTGAGAATTTGTCCCGTGGTTGCTGAATCTGTCGGTTGTTTATGGAACTGTCCCGTTTTCTCGCCGCCTCTGATTTCTCGACGCGAGACAACAAGATCAATTTTGAAAATTTACAGAAAGGGATGGGGGAAGTTCAGACAGGCAGCCAATCCGCAGGCTGATGCAGCCCACAACACGTGGGCTTCAGCACATGATGCAGGCAACGCGCCGCTGGACCGAGCGATGCTATGCCCCAACACTTTTGCAATGATATACATATGGATGTGTGGGGGAACATTTTATACGTCCACGACGCGAAGGTTTGACCATTTTATACGTCCGTTGCCCTCGGTCATATGAGGCGCAGCGGCTGAGGATCTGCACATCCGGGCGAGAAGGAGAGACGTCTGAGGGGCCCGCTGAGACACGAGGCGACGGAGGGTGTGCATGCGGCTCTTTTCTTATTGCGGGAGGGGGAGGGCACACACACAGACACTGGGCAGAGGGGGGGAGGGGAGGCAGACAGAGATGGACACTTACCTGTACATACACAACACGAACACGAAGCGCGAGACAGACGCGTACACGCACTCCCACAACATATACTTGGCACACCACCTCCCCTGGCCCGGGTAAAGTATATGTACAAGCACGGGCAGCCCCGCGCCATCGGGGTGAAAACGGACTGGCATTTTTCTCCGAAACCCAGGGGTAGCCAAGGGAAACCTTGATGAGCCGGACTCGCCGCCCTGGTCTCTGCCTCGTTTTTGCAGGGCTGCTAGACCGTTTCCATGGATGCATTTTCATGCGTTCATGGAGACGCTCGATGAATGACTGAATGAATGAATGGATGAAATGAATGAATGAATGAATGAATGAATGAAGATTTTATACGTCCACGACGCGAAGGTTTGACCATTTTATACGTCCGTTGCCCTCGGTCATATGAGGCGCAGCGGCTGAGGATCCCCCGGGTTCTACAGCAACAGACAGTGGGTACTGGGAGACATGAGGAGCACTGGGAGACATAAGGAATTCCCAGCTGCATCCACCACCCAGCGAGCGACTTCACGGCCGCTGAATGGGTCTGTGTGTAGTCTGCAATGGGGGGAGGGATCCACCTTACTACAGCAGGTGGAATGAGTTGCCTCCCTGCCCACAGCAAGGCTGAACAGCTCGGAAGCTGTCGCAAGTAGGGAAACTGTACTCCTTTGTCCGCGTGGGTTTCGTTGATTGAGTCCGCATGAATGAGTCTGTCACATGAATGAGCTCTATCAAGATGAGCATGTCCTGCTCCATGTTCAGCGTTCACTGCCCTAAGCTGATTCAGTGCTTCTATTGCGGCTGACTGATGAGCCATCAACAAGTCAAACACAGTCAAAAAGCCGGGAAGCTGTCGCAAGTACAGACACCAGCAGAACACATTGCACACACCAAACCGAAGAGATAGTCGAGATGAGAGGCTTGCAGATATGGTCATATCAAGACAGCACAGACCAGGACATTCACCTCTCCTCTCTGGGTCTCTTGTCTCGCGAGTGGCCAGTACTCAACAGCATCCATCTAGATGAAGGTGCCATGCAGCAGCCTGGCCTGTGAGCTACCGTAGCCTTTCGCCGAGGCTGACAAGCCGTGATTGTGGTCACGTTGAATTGCCTTCCCGACAGCCATACGCTCCATCAGCTTCGACTCTCGCTCGGCTGCCCTCTTCTGTCCGGCTGGCCGTTGGGGCTGTCGATGGGGAGCTGATGAACGAGTGGGCGGGCCGTTCCGGCCTTCTTTCAGACGGTATGCTGTGACGCTACTGCACGACCATCAAGCTGCCGCGCCTTCTCGAGCTCCTCCTCAAAAAAGCAACGTGCCCTTGAGGCCAGTGTTGACAAGATCCGCCAGTTGTGGCTCTTGGTCGGCGGACCTCTGCTGCGCTTGCCGCTGAAGGGGCGTCAATGAGGGAGCCGACGAATGAGTGAGCATCGCTTGACGATCTGGTCCTCTCTTCGACGGCACTCTCTATGATGGGAGGCGTTGTTGTGTCGGCTGAAGTCAATGGGCACCTTGCAAAGCGTTGGCAGACCATCACCATGGAGAGAAGCTGATACGACGCTGTCGAGACGATTCTTGAACTCTTCTCGCTTCCAACCGTACCTGCTGCTCGACTGCTGCTCTGGCCGGCTCCGGTGGGAAGAAGAAAGAGAGAAAAAGAGGGGGGAGAGCCTTCCCGTTTCAGGAAGTACGCTAGCCTTCTTCTCTTGCGAGCTGAGATCAGCGCGGGTCGGCTGTCTCCACATCGGAAGCGGATCTGGCAAGGGATCTGGGTTGCTAGATCGTGTATGGCGGCGCGCTGGAGCACCACAGCTATCTCAGCCCTCCGCTTTTCTGTCTTGGGTTGTGATCTGCACGCATAGCTTGCGGACCCGTCTCTCTCGGCCACTGCCAGCGTCCGCCAACCGACCCCCATGGAGGAGCCCTCACAGAAGAAACACTGCACCCGTTCCCAAACTGCCCTCTCGCTGCGCGTCAACGCCCTGGAGAGCGTCGTGTTTCACCCCTGTGAGTGTCTGGAAGATTATCGCAAGCCGCCGGTGACGTTCTCGCCCACGTTCGCTCACCACTTCTTCGGCCTCGACCAGGTCATCGTGGGGTTCGAGCAGGTCGCCGTGAGGATCTATTTCATCCCAGACACCTTGGACATGTTCGTCAAGATTGATGGCGACAGTCCGTCCATCCACGCCTCCTGCGAGCGCGTCATGGCCTGCCTGACCAACGACAAGACCAAGGTGGCCTTCCCGGGCGGCTTCTGCCCTTCGGAGCACGACTTCCTCGCCAAGCTCGAGTGCCGGGCGACCCGTGGGCAAAAATTCCAGCCGCCCGGAAAGCCTGTGGGGGTGTTGCGGCACACGGCGGGTGCGGGAGATGAGCAGATCGAGATCGAGGTGAGACGGTGCACGTTTGCCGATAGCGAGTTCAAGTCGCTGCACCGGCGGATGGAGTGGTTTTTCCACTGGTTCATCGACGGCGCATCGAAGATCGACCATGACGGACGCTGGCACGTGTACGTCGCGTACAAGCGGCCCCCCGGCGGCGTTGACTACCCGTCCCACAGCCGCAAGCCGAAACCCGGTGCGTCGAGCGGCCGGCCGGCGTGTCTGAGCCTGTGTGGGCTTGCCACCGCCTACACATTCCCCAGCCTGTCGAGCAGCCGCCGCCGGCTCTCGCAGTTCCTCATCTTCCCGCACTACCAGAGAAAAGGTCAGTGCGATGCACTGGACGGAGACGGGGATGGGAGAGCGGCACTCACTGTCTTGTCTGGTGTTGTGTTGTGTGTGCAGGAGTTGGGTTGGATTTGTTGCAGCTGATCTATCAGCAGACCCTGGACGATCCCCACGTCTGTGAGGTAACACCAACCCACAGAGCGCAGCACCGACACACCATGAGACACGTCTTTCCCCCTCCCCCTCCCTCCCCGCCCCCTCCCTGTGTGTGTGATCCATCCATCCACCAGATGGATGTCGAAGACCCTGCCCCGGCGTTCGTCCAGCTGCGTGACGTCGTGACGGTCAAGCTAGCCATCGACAACAACCTGGTGTCCCCCCTCGCACTCTGGCCCCCTCCTCCGGAAGCAGAGGTGCCCAGCTCGGCATCAGCGGCCTTCCCGGCCAGCAGCGGCCTGGGCCTTACCAACGGCCATTTCCAGCCCGAAGTCCCCCTATACAAGACGCGCAACCGCACCCGCGCCCTCCACAAGGCCCTCACCGACACGGGGGCATCGAGTGGCTCAAGTGCGGCGTGTGGTGACATGTCGCGCCGGGGCCAGAAGCGGAAGCGCCGGCTGAGTGCGGGGGATGAGATAGACATCGACAGCGGTGTGCCGGCGGTGGCCGCCAGGGACGTGGCCATGTGCACCAGGAGCAGGACGAGGGGCATGGATGGCGGCCGGGCCAGCAGCAGTAGTGCAGCAGCTGCCGCTGGGGGTGGGGGTGGTGGTGGTGGGAGCCACCACGGCACCGGTCGGTCGGGCATGACGTTGCGCGGGGGGCGAGGGAAGCGGTCTGTGGGCAAAAGCGAGGGGCGGAAAATGGTCAGTCAGTGAGCGGCACACAACAACACGACGAAAGTGCGTCTATGCTTTGAATCCTGCTTGGTCTGATCTGTATTGGTGTCCGTCCGTCCCATCTATGGTGCAGGAGAAGGTGAATCATGCGACGAGTTCCATCCCCACCATCGACAGCCTCGCCCTCGACCTCAAAGAAACCAAACAGCAGGCCACACGGTCGGTCGACACCGACACGGACATCTACCTTACACACACACACACTCTCCTCCCCTCCCTCCCTGCGCATATCGTTGGCATCTGTCAATCAGGGTGAGGAGGTGCTGCAGTTTGCCCGTCTGCTGCAGCATCCCCTGCCGGCGGAGATCCCGCCGTCTTACCTGGATCCCGGCACCAGTAAGAACGGCCACACCAAGCGGTACCACAATGGCCACCGCAGCGACACCATGGAGCTGGAGGCACTGCCCTCGTCCAGCAGCGCGTCGAATGGGCTGGGGCTGGGGCTGGGCGGGGCCGGTGGTGGCAGTGGCGGCGAGGAGGGCGACTGGGAGATCTACCGCCTTGGTGTCATGCACCGGCTGCGCAAGGACGTCAAGGACTCTCTCACCGCGAAGGTCTCACTCACCCCGAAGGTCTCAAAGGAAGAGGTGAGGGAGTGACAGGCAGACAGGCATCCCCTCCACCCTGGACGTGCTCTCCTCATTTCTTCTCGTATGTCTCTGCTCATCTCATCCATTGCTCTTGTGGTCTCGGCGTTCTTCCCTTCCTTGTTCGTCATTGATCAGGGTGATTTGGACTTCTTCGGCCAGTGTGACAAGCGGACCACCGGTGATCGCACCTTCACCAGAAACGGCGGGGTACGGCACACACACATACACACACTCATACAACACGACACGACACCACACACACCACAATCATACATCGAGAGTAGTGTGTATATCGACGCACGAACCATCCATGTAGAGTTTTTTTGTCGCCCTCGCATTCCACCCATCCCATCGCATTACATACATACTTGATGGAAGGAAGGCTCACTCGTCGTTGTGTGGCGGTGTGGTTGGTTGGTGTGTCGCAGGTGGAGAAGGCTGTTCAGGACGAGTTCAAGGAGCTCGTGCAGTCATACATAAGTATGTCCATCACACACACACATGCACACACACACACACACACACAGACGGGGATGCCGCGTCTCATCCGTGTGATCTTTGTCCGTTGTGTGATGGGTGCAGGTCGATTAAGAAAGTGCGCAGGCTCTTCCCGGCTCCCCCACATATCAAGAACGAGGGCGACGGTGAGGCCCCCAACCAGCCACGCCCGCCAGCCGGCAAGAAGGTCCGCAAGGGCACCAAGGCCACCAAGGGCACCAAGGCCAAGGGGAAGGCCAAGCCCAAGAGCAAGGCGAAGGCGAGGGGGTAGTGGTTTGTGGGGGGAGAGGGGGAGGAGAGGGGGGGTGATTGACGGCCATTTGTGCCTGCCTGCCTGCCTGTCGTGTGTGTGTATGTGTATGTGTATGTGTGTGTGGGATTGGTTTTGAGTCATTCATTTTTTTTCGTCCATACACACTACCCTCATCCATCCAGCCATCCATACATACCGTGTCATCTTTGTGTCGATTTTTCCTTGTGTGGGTGTGCTTCTGTTGACTGCCTGCATGGATGGACGGATGTGCGCCGTGTGAGCGGCAGCTGAGCTCAGCTCAGCTCGCTTTGCTTATATGTAGTATATAATACGGCTTGCGTCGGTCGTCATGTTTGTGACATTTTTAAGGGTGTGCGTACGTGTGTGTGCGTCGTGTGTGTGCGTGATTTGTGTGAGGATCGTGCGGGGACACGACACGACAGCCACACTTATCAGATAAAGGAATGCACACCACACCATACAAGGGGGCTGGCTGTCATTGGCCCGTCATGGATGGCGGCCGCTACCTGACTGACTGACTGACTTGATAATGAGTACTTAGGGGGTACCTGACAGACTCACTTGCTGACCGGCAGACAGGCAGACAGAGAGAGAGGGAGGGAGGGAGGGAGCCAGGCAGGTCATGGCTGTGTTGGTGTGCACACCACACGCAGAAGCACGACAGACAAGTCAGCCAGCTCAGCCCGACCTGACTGACACGTGGATGTGCGTGATTACTTGTGTGTGGGTGGGATGGCCGTCCCGTCGGCGGCACTCGACAGCCTTCGTGAGAGAGGTCAGCAGACAGACAGACAGACAGACAGACCGACAGGGCGGGAGGGAGGGAGGGAGGGAATGCACTGGCAAGGAATGAAGCAGGCGTGTTGTGTGTTCCGCTGTGTTGGTTCATATCAGATATCAGGCAGCCCGTCTGGCGGTTTCCGATATGTCGACGGCACTGCGAGTCGATGAGAGTCGGCGCCACAGATATGCCAGGCCGCCCACTGATCGGCAGCAAATGGTAAGTATGCACAGAGACGACGGCCAGCGCATCAGAGATGCACTGAGGTGGATGCGTGTGGGTATGGTGTGGCCGTCAGGTGAGATTGACGTCGCGACGTGATGCCCTCCCTTCTGAGGGACATCAGGTGAAGTGCCGCCCGAGTATGCAGAAGGCTGCATGAATGGCAGGCACGTGGTGTGTGCTCGTCGGCCACCTGTCGAATCAAATGGCGGTGAGCCAATTACACACACACACATACACACACACACACACACGAAGAGAGAGGCGATGCGGCCGAGTACCTCACGGACCTGCCTCTCGGTTGCTGTGTGTGTCTGTGTGTGCAGCGGACGAGTCTGAGGGCCACCGAGGGCAACGGGATTATCGCCAGAGCCGGATCGCATGACCACAGACAGGACACAAGATAGAGGCCTGCAGCACACTCTCGTACACATGTGAGTGTGTGCGTGTGTGTCTTGTGTATGCAGGTGCGTCGGCGCTTTCACTCAAGGATTATCGCGTGCACAAGAGCGGCGCATGGTGACTTACTTGATTCGATATGCGGATGCCGCCGTCTTGCAGGCCTAAGTGAAGGCGTTCGCAAGCTGCCACACAGTCAGGCGGCCATGCAGAGCGGGCTGGTGCGTGCCTGTTTGGCAAACATGAGGTCCGTCTGCGTGGCTGATCTGGTTGTGACTTTTTTCGGGGGTAAAAGGTGTGGGGGTTTCAAGCGCTCCACTCGCTGCTGGCGTGAGGCCTCTTGTCTGTCAGGCTTCTGTCTGCGGGCGAGTGAGCGATTGGGTGTGGTGTGTGGCGGTTGGTGCGTGCATGGGGCAAGGGTGACACACACACAAGCACACAGGAGGGGAAGTTTGTTGCTGCTCGCCATCCACCATCCATCGTATATATATCTCTCTCTCTTGTTTCCTGCACGCTCCACTCGCACACTCGCACCCTCACTCTGTCGCACACCAGCTTCTCGCACCTTTTTGTGAGCATGTGCGTGCATCATTCCACCTCATGGCTGGCTGGCTGCCTGCCTGCCTGCCAATGATTTGACGTGATCGATCGTAGCAGTAGGGTGTGTGTGTGGCTGTGGGCTGCCTTCAGCATGACGCTCTCTTTGTGGTTGTGGTGCCGTTCGGACCTGTTCGGTCGTGTGGGATGGATGGATGGTCGGCTGTGTGCTCGATGGATGGGTGGGCGGGAGGGTGGACACAGCGCATTACGCACCACTTTCAAGGCGGGTCTACGGGCTGTCTGTGTGGTGTGTGTACGATTTGGTTCCTTGGATCTCGCTCGCACTGTGAGAGAGGAAAGCACCTATTGCACTGAACTGGTAGAGAGGTAGACAACTTGAGCTCAGTCGAGAGTCAGCGGGCACCTAGCAAGCTGTCCTGACTGACCTGGCAGATGGACTGGTGATAGCCTCACTGACTGGTGTGCGTGGTGTCCAATGACATGGCGGTGTGCTGTGTGTGTGATGATTGCAATGACGTAGGCACACATGAGACAGCACAAGGACTTGTACACAGAAAGAGTTGAACCATTACAGAATCCACACGCCAGCAGTCCCCCTTAGGAAGCGCGGCAGACCATCCCCCACATCCATCTGCGGCCGCTTCACGCACATTCCATCCGCACAGCCACACGCTCGCCGCCCGGCGCCCGCAGGGCATTACACGTCGAATCAAGGCGTCCATTCTCCTGACACACATTGCACACCGAAACAGTCTGCTTCCTTACCCTCGCTGTAGACATTAGCACGACAATATTTGCACAATCACGGCGGCGGCGGATTCTATACGCTTGACAAAATAATAACACTGTACAGCTGACAGGACAGCTTGGTGAAGGACAGATGAAGAGAAGAGGCTTCATGAGTAAGAGGCGGATTCTGGGACAGTGGCGGTGCAGCTTCGTTTCTCGACTTTGAGCGTTGGGGATCGCAGGCTGGCCGTTGGACAAACAAAACGCTCAGAAGAAACGCTCGTCGGAGAATCTCTTTCCCTGACGTCCATAGCTCCATACTTTGTACAGCCCTAGTTGCTAGTGAGAGACCCGACTGCACCGCAGCGCACCGCAGCGCAGCGCTGCGTGACTGTTAATTAAGGAGGAGGGGCCACCCAGAGAGCCGCCTCTTCTCTTCCCGGAATGGCCGCACAGTCGGCACTGTCAGGCCTGGTGGCCTTCCTGTGCGCCTTTGTTGGCTGGGCGCAGGTTAGCATCCGCGGCCCTATCGACGACCCCAATCCCGTGCGCAAGCTGCAGACCAACACCTACCCGGCAGAAGGGCTCAAGGAGCAGTACGCCACCCTCAAGTATGCGCACGAGGCGCACGCCGACTGGCCGCGGAACCTGAACGTCCTGCCGGCCAAGGACATGGCCCTGGAGGCCGAGGTGAAGCGCATCGTGGACTCGATGACCCTGGAGGCCAAGATTGCACAGATGGTGCAGGTGGGCATTCCTGAGACGGACGTCGCCAGCATCACTGCCGAGCGGGGCTGGAGTGTGGGCAACCTGCTCAGCGGGCCAGGTGTGCAGTGTGGGCGGGGCGGGGAATATTGTGAGTCCAGTCAGTCAAAACGTGTGTCGTTCCATTTACTTATCGTCGCTCAGGTGCGCAGATTGGTACTCACCAGCCGTACGAGTGGCTGAACCAGGCGGAGGTGTTGCTCAACACATCGGCCTACCAGGCCGGCGTCAAAATCCCATACATCTGGGGCATGGGTACGCGCCGACATTCAGCGACACACACAAGGCGGGGCTGGCCCCCTCTGGATGGACACGTGTTGACCTGCGCTGTGCCCTGTGTGTGTGTGTGTGTGTGTGTGTGTGCTGGTGGTCCCTTCCAGACGCCATCCACGGCCACAACAACCAGGTAGGTCTCCGGGGGGGAGGGGGCGAGCACAGCACTGTGTGATTCACACGTCACCATGCCGTGTGTCATATTTGCTGATTGTTCCTCGTTCGTTTGCCAACAGCCCACGGGTGTCATTTTCCCCCACAACATCGGTCTGGGAGCCGCCAACGACACCGAGCTCATGAAGAAGTAACCCCACTCACCCACCCACACAAGCCACACACAGAGCACCTTCACCTGTTCCCTCCCCCCTGTGCGTGCGTGTGTCCGTGTCGTGTGTGTCAGGATTGGTGAGATCACAGCGATTCAGTTGAACCTGGTGGGTGTGGACTGGGCGTTCGCCCCCTGTGTGGCCAACCCCCAGCTCCTGCGGTGGGGCCGCGTCTACGAGGGCTACGCCGCACACCCAGAGACCATCCGCAGGCTCAGCAAAGCCATGATCCTCGGCCTCCAGGGCGACCCCAGGGACAACTCCTACCTCAACGCCAGCCACGTGCTCGCATCCATCAAGCACTGGATCGGCGATGGTGCCACTGAGGAGGGCATCGACGCCGGCGACACCTTCCTGCCTGAGGACAAGCTCATCAAGGAACACGCCCTGCCCTACTTCGACGCCATCGAGAACGGCGTGGCCACTGTCATGGTGAGTGGAGTTGAGGAGACCCCTCTCCCGCCAAGACAGGCGCGACACCCCACCCCACCCCACTGAGTGTGTGTGACGACTGGCTGGCAGGTGAGTTTCTCGCGATACAACGGTACCAAGATGCATGGGCATGAGTACCTGCTCAAGACGGTCCTCAAGGAGACGCTGGGCTTCGACGGCATCGTCATCAGCGACTTCGAGGGGCACCAGCACGTCGACGGATGTGACAGGTGGCACTGCGCACAGGCCGTCAATGCAGGTAGGTAGATATGCATCCAAGCGACGAGACAGACATTCCTGCTTGCAGCACCACCCACTGTCTGTCCATCTGTCCGTCTGTGTGTGTGTTTGTCTTGTCTGTCAGGGCTGGATGTGTTCATGGTCGCGTGGGGTGACGACTGGGATCACTTCTCGCGTAACACCGCCGAGCAGGTCCGCAACGGCACCATCCCCGAGGAGCGCATCAACGACGCCGCCACCCGCATCATCCGCACCAAGGCGCGGCTCGGACTTATCGACACCGTACACAGACCCGCCGGCCCGCGACCCAGCCCATGGCAACGGGCAGACCACCTCGCACAGGAGGGTATGTATGTCTGTGTGGTCGGGCGGGCGGACGGGTGTGCAAGCACACACCACGACCTTGGGGCTGTGTGTGTGTGTGTGTGTGTGCAGGCCACTACTTCGGTGCCCCCGAGCACCGGGCGATTGGCCGCGAGGCGGTGTCCAAGTCGCTGGTGATGCTCAAGAACAACGGCCTGGTGCTGCCCCTCGACTCGTCCATGCGGGTGGCCGTCGTGGGCCGCGGCGGAAACAGCATCGCTCTGCAGTGCGGTGGGTGGACCGTTGACTGGCTGGGCTCCAAGGAAAACCCCAATGAGATGTTCGGCGACGCCACGACCATCTATGGCGGCATCGCCGAGAAGGGCGTCCAGGTGGACTACTCGTTCAACGGCACCGAGGGGCTCAGTGGCGACTACGACGCAATCATCGTGGTCTGCGCCGAGAATCCCTATTCTGAGGTGGAGGGCGACATCCGCATCAACACGACCATCTCCTTTGCGCACATGGGCGAGGGCGACGGCTGGTACGACCTGAGCGTGCTTGAGGCCATGAGGCAGCAGCACCCCAACAGCAAGATCATCACGGTCTTCATCTCCGGCCGGCCGCTCTACACCAACCGACTGATCAACCTCAGCGACGCATTTGTCGTCGCATGGCTGCCCGGCACCGAGGGCGGCGGCATCGCAGACGTCCTCTTCGGCGAGAAGAACATGACCGGCAAGCTGCCCTTCGACTGGCCGACCGACCCCTGCGACGCCAGCACCAACAGCGGCAACTACGGCGGCATCTGGCACATCGGCGGAGGGCTGACGTACGGCTACGACCGGACCATGGAGACCTTGACGGAGCACCGGATCGACAGCTACTTCCTCTGCGAGAAGTACAAGTCCAGCCTGATCCAGTACACCACCTCCCCGCCAGTAGAGGAGGAGCAGGAGGAGCAGGGCGGCTGGGATGGGCAGTGGAACGACGGGCAGTGGAACTAACTGAGCCAAGCCGGGTGTCGCCTGTCGTTTGTCGTGTGTCTCGTCTTTCGTGTGTCGTTTCGTTTGGTATCGTGTCGCTGTGGATGATGAGATGGCTGGGGTGGTTGTCTGGTGATGGATGTCTCAGTCGCTTCGGGTGTGTGGAGGGGGAGGGGGAGGGGGAGGGGAGAGAGAGGAGTGAGATGCGACGGACGGCAGCGAGAGAGGGGGAGAGTGGGGCGATCGAAGGCAGGCTCTGTCTCCTTTCGCGTCGGATTTTCGCTCTAGTATGTCCATCCATCCATCCTTCCCAACACATACTCACCACACATTCACCACACACCACCATCCATCCATCCACTCATTCCAATCCACCGTCTGTCTGGCTGCCTACCTGACTTATTTTGGATGTCTGTCTGCATGGAATTTCGCGCCGCCACGGAGGCCAGGGACGGAGGGGGGGCGGGGAAAGAGTGACGGCCACGCCCCCCTGCCTCTTCTCTGTGTCTCTGTCTCTGTCTCTGCCCCATCAATCTGCATCATCTGACGCCTACCTGCCCTGCATGGGTTTTGTTTATCGCTCTGGATGTGTGCTATGCCTGCTACGCTTTGGATAAATGTATTTAGGGGGGTCAGGGGGGAGGGAGGAGGGTGCGTAAGTGTATCCAGACGTAGACGTCTAGACGTGTGTGCGTGTGTGTGTGTTTCTCATGGGGAGGGGGGGTCTTGTTGCTCGCGTGTGTGGTGTGGTGTGGTGTGGTGCAGCAGGGCATAGTGTGTGAAGATATCGCATCGCACGCGTCCATCCTCCATCATTCATTCAATGAATGCATCGAATTGTGTGGTCGTTGAGAGAGCTCGAGGAGCGCAATGAGTGAAATGAATGGCGGTGTGGTGTCTATCCTGGTGTGGATGGTGTGGATGGCAGGCATGTGAGGCGCATGAGGTGAGATGATTGATATGGGGCCTATACCTCCTACATTTATAAGTCTTGTGCGTGGAAGACTAAGACCAAGATCAATGACTGCAGTGCGGTGCACTCACTGCATTCACTCATTCACATGTATGTGTGTCTGTCAAATGTATTGATTGATGGGTTCACGTCACGTCACGTCCAAGAGGCCTTGTCAACTTAACTTCGTCGCGTCCAACAAACGAAATGAAGAAACGAAATGAAAAGGCGTCACGCGAGCCACACTCGTCTAGTCATGTTTACTACGCAATAAACCGCGCGCAGTTTGATTGATAGGTGAAGACACCTGAGACATAGACGCCCCCTCGCGGCAAGGAATCGTGTGAAAGGTGAAGGTGGAAGAAGAGCGTGTTTGTTGACGACCGACCCACCTCCTACAGGTGACCGAGCGACGATCGGCTGGCTGGCCGGGCAGAAGATAGATAGATAGCTACAAGTTGTGTGTATACGTCACTCTAACGGAAATGGACCCTCACAACGGGGGTCACTCTCTTCAACACACAGCCAATGGGTGCGGTGGATGGCTGTGTGTTGCCCGTCAGCAACCACACACGGAAAACCAGCGCACTAAAACGGCACTCACTCTCCCAGAGCACCCTCCTTCTCTCTCTCTGTGTGTGTGTGTGTGCTGGTTAGACGCATCCATCCATTCGTTGAGAGCGTATAACGCAGCCAGAGACAGCACCGCCCCCCTATCAACTCAACTCACTCACTGCACGAACAGACAAACAAATAACTGATCCAGCAAAAATGAGGATAAACTCAGACTTGATCACATGGTATGCATGACAACAGGCAGGTGAGCATCTCTCTCTCTCTCTCTGTGTGTGTGTGTGTGAGTGCCGCCTGTCTGCCTGCTTTCTTTCTTGCAGTGGCAGTGGGCAGCCAGGCGGCACACACAACGCAACACACACCACACACACAGCAACACAAGGACGGTGGGGGCGCTGGGCTCAAATGGGGCAAAACCACACACACACACACACACTCACACACACACGAGAAGCTAAGGGACACAGGCAGACACGCAAGGCAAGCCAATGGCTCGCCCACCCTCACACCGATCCACTCAACCAGCCAACCTTCCAGTCAATCCAACGAAATGAGCGCACATACAGGCTGACTTGAAAAGCGGCCACAGGCAGGCAGGCAGGCAGGCTGGCTGCCCGCAGGCAGTGAGTGAGAGCGTGAGGTGAGGTGACGCTGGCTCGCTCCATCATGTTGCCATCGTCACCTGCCCGCCCAGACGCGCACACACGTACGTACTTACCTTCACTTCAACATAGGCACCCACACCCACACCCAGAGAGGGAGGGAGGGATGGAGGGAGACATGCCTATATCCACATTATGTACTCACAACATCACGCACAGCAAAGCACAAACCCGTCGTGTCGTAACCAAGAGGCACTCACGTGCGCTGCGCGAAGAAGAGACTAGAACACAAAGATAGCCCACCCCAACATGGCCGTCACCATCACCATCCCACCCCCCACCCCCACTCTCAGCCCGCCACACCGCCCAACGGCCCCCGATGGTGTGAGGTCTTCCTCCACCGACGGCCCCTCTGCCCTTGCACTCAACGCCTGCAGCCTCTCACGGTGCCTCAGCGTCTCCCTCCTCTCGCCCAGCTGCACCCCCGCATACCGCCCCAGCATCATGACGGTCGCCATGGGGTTGACGCGCGTCACGGCGGGGATGACCGATGCGTCCACCACGTGCAGGTTGCTCGTTCCAGTAAGGAGAAAGTCGTCTCCCTCGATGAGCGTGCCCATCGCGACTGTCCCGCAGTAGTGCCATATAGAGAGGTAGAGATGCTCGCCAACCGCCGTGAAAACCTCCTCGAGGGCCTCGGGCGACTCGCCTGCCTCCATGAGTGTGGCGTTGATGCCTGGCGGAAAGAGCTGCAGCTCCGCGCCGGGCTTGGCGTACTTGGATGGCGGGAAGATGAGTCCGAGGGATGTCTTGACCATGCCCTTCCTGAAGAGGTCGGCGTCGAAGCACGAGTCCTCGCCGTTCTGCGTGATGGCCTTCATCGGGTCAGACGACAGCAGACGGAGACTCTCTGAACAGAAACACACAGAGACAACGGGATGGCCCACAATGAGTGCACTCGTGGGACAGCAACCCACCCCACCTTTGATGGCGAGGCCGGCCGCCTGCCGGTCCCTCGGGGCGTCGAAGTACTTGGGGTCGATGAGTGTGGTCCCGTTTTCACGGAGGGTCACCCGCCCTCGTGAGAGCGGCTCCGTCACCCACGTCAGCAGCGACACCCCCTGGATGGCACACGTGCTCACGTTGGCCTCCTGCTCGTTGCACTGCTCCGGCACCGTCACGTTGGTGTCCACTTGCGACGAGTTGAGGGCGATCTCGATGCCGAGCGCACAGTCCCAGAAGCCCTGCAATAACCGGGCCAGCAGGGGGCTGATGCGGCCCTTCTCCGCGGCCTTGTGCGCGTTGAGTATCATGCCTGTCGTCATGCCGTAGCCCTGAGAGAGCTCATCCTGCAATCAAGGAGGGAAGAATGGAAGCTGCTTGGTGTGGTTCTGCGTGTGTGTGTGTGCGCGCGTGTCTGTGGTGGGTTACGATGAGTGTGAAGTGACACTGGTCATTCGCCGAGGGGTTCTCGGCGTCGCAGCCTGGTCCGGCGTATCGTGTGGCCATCAGCGACTGGATCGTCACGGGGCCGGGCTCCTTGAGCGCCACGCCAATGGGAATCTGCAAAGCATAACCCACAAACAAAGACAGCTTCACCAAACAGCCATATCTCCCCATCTCCCGCCTCCATGTGTCGCCATGATACCTGAGGATGGTCGTGCAGATTAGACCCAACGCTCTCCAAATCCAGCAGAACCTCGATGCCCGCCGCTTCAAGCACGTCGCGCGGACCCAGACCACTTCGCATGAGGATCGCCGGCGTATGGATCGCACCAGACGCCAAAACGACTCGCCCGCCGTCCCTAACGCAAACCCGCCTCCTCACACGCTCGGCGCCCTCAGTGGCATTCAGCTTGTCGTAGACGACGCAAGTCGCCCTCAGCTGGCCCCCTGTCTCGACAGCCTCAAGATCGAACTCAATGTGCTGCACCTCAGAGAGCACCTGCAGCGTCACCGCCGATCCGTTCAGCAGCTCATCGGCGGCGTGGCGTCGGTCTGTCTCGGTGTCGAAGATGGAGTAGGTGCGCCACGACATGGGAGTGTCGGCCACACGGGCAGTGCCCTCGTCGCCCACCCAGGGGTACCCGGCCTGCTCGAGCGACGACCGGAGAGCCCTGCCCCATTGGCCCCCCTGCGGCGAAGGGCGGACGATGCCCGAGTCCCTCAGCCAGTGGTAGCTGTCGTTGATGAGGGTACGGTTGAGGGTGACCTTGTGTGCCTCCTCAAGATGGTCGAAGTAAGACATGTCCTCCTCAATGTACACCCCCGCGTTGATGGCCGTGCCGCCGCCGGTCACTCGACCGATGTGGCCGATGACGCCCTGGGGGGTCTCGAACTGCTCGGATATGGTGGGGCTGAGCATGGCTGTCTGGCCGCCCGTCTTGGTGACGGCATCCTCGAACTGCTGCCGGTCGTCGCCCCGCTCCAGCAGCAGCACAGCCTGGCTATATTCAGATAGGGTGCGGGCCAGGGGGCAGCCGCCCGCACCGGCACCGATGACGATCGTGTCGTAAAGAGCCTCGTCCGTCTCAACGGCAGCGTCTGAAGGAAACACACACACAAGGGTGCAACAGTCACGCATTCCTGTCCGTTTGAGAGTTGAATGCTGACCACCGATGGCGGCGTCAAGGGCAGTGCGGTTGGCCTCGACTGGTTCCACCTGCCCATGACAGGGCGTGGGAGAGAGGATTAAACTCCCAAGAGTCAGGAGAGGGACCAGAGCAGCCACGCGCATCGACCACACGCATGCACTGAGCCGGCCGGCGAAGGATCTGCCCCCCAAAAGAGCAGCGGAATGACCCAGATGGAGTGAAGGCCCGACGGATGGGATGGCTGCACGAGGGATGGTCAGCCGCCAAATTGCACGAGAATGGGTGTAGTCGTTGAGGTCAACGCTGAGAGATGTAAGGAGAGATAACCGTTCAGGGCTGCTCCTGGTACGTCAGGCAGCACCAGGGGGCACAGGTAGCAAAGGCGCAGAGATCAGATTTCTTAAGCTCGCGAGATGGACATTCCGTGGAACCGTTCTCTTTGTGCGTCCGAAAAAACACACAGAACAGAAAGAGGCGAATAGCACCATGCTGTACAATCCCCAATCGGCTCTCTATCGGCAATTCCTCTCCTCCGCCCGGTGAGAGGCCGACAGACTGCGTGCACTGGAATGAGATGAGCCGAGATGAGCCGATGTGATTTGGCTTGTGGTGGTGTGTTGTGTCATGCAGCAAAGCGGACAAGAAGGCCGGGGAGCAGCAGAAGTCCAAGGCCGCTTCAGATCGTTCCTCAGCTCATCCAGGTATGCGGCTTGGTTGTGACACAGACACAGATCAGCACAGCAAGGCCTGCGTCTGTGCCAGTGTTTGTGTGTGTGTGTGTGTGTGTGTGTGTGTGTTTCAGGCTCCACTGGAGTATGACGACTAACAGGGATTGGGTGGGAGAGGTGGACATGGGAATGGCGGCGAGACGAGTCTAACTTCTTCGAGAACTGAGACACGGCTGGGCCTGTGATGCCTGTAGATACCTTTCTGTTGGATGACGTTGGCTCGGCTGGAGCCTGCGATCACCTACTGCGACGCCCTGAGTGCCCGACTGTACCGTCAGCCACTGAAGACGTTGCAGATGCGTGCAGCAGGCAACAGCGGAGTCAGTCCAGGGACGGGAGGGAGGGGGAGAGTGCGCTTGACTGGCGGCACTGTTGAGTGGTCGAGTGAGTGAGTGTCTTATGGCATGTCTGTCGGTCTGTCTGTCTGTCTGTCATGTGCCCACGCTTCACGTGAACACACAGCCATGCCACGCCATGCAGTCAGTCAGTCTGAGACAGACACCCGGACGGTCAGACAACGGATGAGGGGTGGGTGGAGGGATACCTAGGCGTACTCACTTCGTCGTGTCGGACGGTGCGCATCGATCCAATCAACCAGCTGTCACTTATGGCCTCTCTCTTGCAACACACAAATGCCGACATACACACACTCGCCCAGCCACCCTCAGGCTCACTCACTTCACTGCACAGAGTCTGCCGATCGCCTGCCTCCTGGCGGGGATCACCACACACCTCACTCGTGCCGCCTGCCTGCCTGTCTGCCTTAAACACCTCCACACACACACAGCCCGCGTTGAAAAATCGTAAAACCCTCGCATCTCATCATCTCTCTCGCCAATCCATCCATCCTGCATACGTGCCTGGCTGCATGCCTGTAGCGTAGCGTGCCCCGCCCTGCCCTGCCCACCCACACAAACTCCATCCACTTAAAACGGCGTGCACACTGCAGCCACTGCACCCACACGGCAATCTATCTATCTCAGCGCTCTCACAGTGTGTCATCCAGTCGCCCTGGCTGGCTCCGCGTCAGTGCCCGTCCGTCTATCTACGGGCAACGAACAGACCACACCGACACGGCGGATCGAGCTGCCCAGAGCAGAGCGTGTGTGCGGCCGAACTAACGACTAGGGGGTGAGACATCCATCGATGGAACAACCCAACCCATCGGTGCACATCACATCTGATGGCATGGCGACGTGGCCGTGGGCGGCTGGGTGGGTGTGGGTGGGTGTGGCCGTCGCCGTATCTATCGTGCGTATGCCCTAAAACTGCTCTTCTTTGTTCGAGTGAGAGGCCAAAAACCGCCCCCCGCTCACATCACCGAGTCGAAAAAGACGAAGGAAGGAGCCACACCACACCACCACCGAACAATCATCCAAAAAATGAAAATGATATCAGCATGCGGGAGGGAGGGAGGCCACCAACCCACAAACCCACCAGCCAGCCAGCTGGTGCGTGTGTGTCATGAGAGAGAGTGGATGCAAGCCGCCCGCCCACCCCTCGCACCAGAAAAAACTGTGGGGGCGGGAGTGGCGTGCGAGCTAACTGTCGTGTGTGTGTGTGTGTGTGTGTGCAAGTGAAGGCCTACCTCTGGCGCAATGACATAGACAGACAGACAGACAGACACCAGAGCCACACAAGGATGAGCAGCAAGCAGGAAGCCCCAGAAGAGAGAGCTTCCCGTGTGTCCCCCCTGGCCAGCTGGTCGTCTACACGAGCTACGTGCACAAACTAACCCCGCCTCTGATATCCGGCGGGGCGGGCACACCATCCGTCCATCGGTCCATCGGTCCATCCATCTATCTAAGGTCCGTTTGGCGGCATCATATAGAGGGGGTGGTGCTGCATGAGGAATGGGGGCACCTGCGGCATGTTGCGGTGCTGCCGCTTGGTCGATATGTGCGTCCGCAGCTTGGTGAGCAGCGCCGAACGGGTGCCGTCCTGGCGCTTCTCACGGTCCTGAATCGCCTGCGCCACCGCACGACGAGTCAGCTGGGTCAGCAAGGCGTCCAACTCCTGGCAGATTGCAAGGACAAACACACACAGACAGACAGACAGACATGGATTGAACAATGGTCATGCGGGCGCACAACACCCAAAGAGAGAGACATCTGCGCTCGAACCTTGACTTTGGGATGCTGGTCGCCCTCGAGTGCCGCCAGGATAGACCGCTGCTGCCGTGTGTGGTGCAGCGACTCACGGAACTCGCACAGCATCATGTTCAGACCTGCCAGGTGGTCATGCACCTACACCAGAGACAGCGCCAACGAATGCAATGCAACCATGACGACTGACGTCTGGTCTCCCCTGCGCTTGGTGTGTGTGTGTGTGCGGCTGACCTGAACGAGGTACATGGGTCCCGGGTTGGCCTTGGCGATGCGCTTGAAGGAGTGGCCGGCGCGTTGCGTCAGGATCAGGGCCGCACGCTGCCACCCCGCCGACGGCTGCGCCTGGTGCAGCTGAAGGGCACAACGGCTGCAATGCATTGCAATGCAGCACAGCCACACACACACGCAGGCAGACACAGACAGACAGGAAGAGAGTGGGCGGGCCGAGTGTGGAGCGCTGTGGGGTCTGTGTGAGTGGGTGCGTACGCGGCGTGTACGAGCGCCATGGGGAGGTCGGGATGGTCCAGCCCGCACCATAATCTGTACAGCTCAGCAGCCCTGCAGTGCAACCCAACCACAACAAACATCCCACCCATCCACTCACTGCCTATCGACTCGCCAGCCAGACGTCCCTGCCCTGCCCTGCCTGTGGAGGTATCTGATGGCGTCGAAAGGGTGGCCCATGAAGAGGAGTGCGATGCCCATCTGGCAGTGCAGCTCGGCGTTCTCGAAGGCGTCCACCCCCCCAAGCTGCTCCTGGTGAGCCAGAGCACGGCTGAAGTTCTGGTACGCACTCGGCATCTCGCCCAGTGACATCTGCAGACCCCCCAACCGATGGTAGCAGTCTGCCATCTCCCTGAAGCAAGCAAACCGACACACACACACACGACACATGACACACACATGAACAGAAGCTGACCTGGAGGCGCCTCTCTCTCTCTCTCTCTGTGTGTGTGTGTGTGTGTACCATGCGGGCGCGCCGTTGAGGAGGTTGTTGTAGGTGGCGGCGGCCTGTTCGAGGGCCTGCATAGCGATGTCGATCATCTCGTTGTTGAGACACCGCTGCGCCGTGGCCATCCACACCTGCACCCCGACGCTCTGCGGCCCCTCACTCTTGACCACAGGGAACAAACCCGCCACGTCGTCACTCGTCAGCCGACCGCACACACGCACTTCTCGCGACCTGCCGCTGCTGGGGGGGCCCTTCTCCGATGGGCTGGCCGGGGGCTGACGGCCGATGCCATTCGCCAGCGGGGAGTCGCCGGCAGACTGAGACTGCACGTCGGCATCAGCAGCTGCTTGTGCCGCCTCGGTGGGGGCGTTGGATGGCGAGTCGGGGTGAGGGTGAGGGGTGGCGCCGGCCTCCTCCTCTTGCTGCTGGTCTCCACTGCCGCTGCCCTCCCCCTCAGGCACCTCCGACACGTTCGGGTGCTCGGGGATCTCCGGCGCGCTGTCGCTCTGTGCGTCGCAGGACGGTTCCCAGGGCTCGATCAGGGGGCTCAGCACCTTGCCCAGCGAAGAGGGCGCCACCAGCTGGATGCCCACCTTCTCACACACACCCCGCAGCACCCCGAATCGCCCCGCAGCCGACCGCAGCACACCGCACTGGGCCCTGGCTTGAGGGAGGGGGTGGCGGAAGTGCTCCTCGCTCCTCTCCCGGATGAGCCCCCACATGCTGTCCACCGTCACTTGCTGCAGGGCGTCGGGGAGGCCCGGCTCCAGCTCAGGCGACTCGTTGAGTGAGGTGGATGTCGGTGAGGACGTCAGGTCGGCGGCGTCGCCCGTCTCGTCGTTTGGCCAGGCCATGAGGCAGTTGAGCAGGTGGGCCACCGACACGGCCAGCCGTCCGGGGGGCACCTCCTTGAGCAGCCCGTTAATGACGTACGCTGCCGTCCGCATCACGATCTCCCGCTCCAGCGCGGCCAGCAGAACGGGCGAGACGAACTCGGCCTGCGAGCACTTGGCCAGGACGGTGCCGAGGTACCGCAGGTTGACGCCGTGACGGTGGAAGCAACGCTTGACGGCTCGGGTGGAGACGGGGGTCTGGGCGGGCATGAGGAGGGTCTTGACGAGCTGCGGGATGGCGACCTCCGTCAGACGCCGGGCGAGGGAGTGGATGCGGCGGTGCTGCCTGGACAGCTGGTCCTTGGCCTCGCTCTCGTCGGCCTCCACCCAGTGAGTGAAGGCGTTGATATTCAGCTGCATGGTGGCATGCAGTCAGTCACCCCACACACACGCCCATTCATTCACTGTGGCTGCATCCATCCATCGGTGTGTGGATGTGCTCACCAGTGGAGGTGGGAAGAGGGGATTGTCGTCCGCCTGTGGCAGCTGCGACAGGTTGTGCTTGGCCAGCTCCTCAGACAACTTCGCCATCCACGCCGGCTGCTGCTGCTGCTGCGCCTGCACCCCGTCGCCACCTCCACCACCAGCACCAGCACCAGCACCAGTACCACCAGCACCAGGACCGCCCGCCCCGTCGTTGATTGCCTCAGTCTGGTCTGTCGTCTGCTCCCTGGCCTTGAGCTGCATGGCCTGCGCCTCACGGATGATGGCCTGCAGCCGTTCCGCAGCCAGCCGCTGCATCGACGCCGCGTACTCGTGGTGCGCGTCCCACCGGAACACATTCACACCCTCGCGAGCCGTCTGCAGCAAAGATTTGGGCTGGGTGGGGTTTTTGGCTGTGCCGTCGGGGTGGTTGCCGGGGGCTGCAGCAGACGCCTCCGCCCCGTCTGCTGTGGCGTCGGGTTTGTCGGCGGTGTGCTTCTCCTTGGCGATCCAATCGCGGATCTGCTTCTGGATGAGCAGCTCTGGCCTCAAGATGGACATGCCGCCCGCACCGGCGGGGTGGTCGGACGAAGGCGCACCGTCAGAACGGGAACCTGCCTTCCTGGAGGCGGCCGGCGTGGGGGTGGTCTCCTTGGGTGGCTGCTGGTGTAATTGGCAGCAGGAGGGCTCATCGGGGTCGGCGTCAGACATGTCAGAGGGGATGTCCTCCTCCTCCTCCCCATCTGCTGATGCTGATGCTGCTGCTGCTGCTGCTGTGGTGCCGTCCGTCTTGTCTCCCTGCGCCGCCCGCCTCTCGCGTGATGCCTTGAGCCGGTCGGCCTTCTCGCGCAGGTACTGCACCACAAACTCAGGACGCAATACACAGCTGCGGTCCTCGGGCCTGGCAAAGAGACAAACAGAAGATCGGTCTTTGGTACATCCATTGGGGGCTGGGCTATCTGTGGCCAGAATGTAACAACCAGTTGAGATCCCTTGGCGTGAGTCTTGAGAGGTCGCAGATGTACAGCCGTCCGTCAGCTCCCTTGATGCACTTGCTCTCTGCGGGCAGGTGCAGTCTGACGGTCTTGCTGGCGTCCTCCTTCAGATGGTGCGGCGCCAAACCAAAGTACCGACCCACCTATAGAACACACACACACACACACACACACACGCTGGTTGACAGGGGTCATCGTTCAGAGTTCCCCTCCTGGTCGATCGTCTCACCTTGTCGTAGAGGAGCTGCGCGACCTCCTGGTGGTATGAGTACCCCTCCCACGGCTCGTTGGCACCCATCAAGGGCCTGCAGGAATATATATGCCGGCAGGCAGGCAGGCAGGCAGGCAGGCAGGAAAACGACACAACACACAGCACACGACATAGACACGGGACGGGTGTCATTTTCCCTCCCTCTCCCTGCCTCCCTGCCCGCCTGACTGCCCGCCTCCACACCTACATGGTGTGCAGGTCCCCATGCAGGATGCCCGGCAGCAGCGACTGTGCGAAGACCCTGGCCCCGCCGTAGTCGACCACCGTCTGCAGGAGCGAGCACACGTTGCGCGAGGCGGGACCCCGCCTGCCGCCCAGGATGCCCTGGTCGCCGATGGCCGGGGGCGGGAGGGGCGGCATGCGGCCCTGCACCACTGCATGGGGGTTCTCGGCCTGGTGCTGCAGGTTGTTGTACATCTCCACGGCCCTCAGGTCCAGCCGCACCGTCTCCCGCGTGGCGCTCGGACCCACCAGGGCCTCGGGCGTGTTGAGCCGGCCGACGTAGATCTGACCGTCCTCGCCGTCATTCCTCTGGCCACTGGCGGGATCGCTTCTCTTGGCGGCGATGGCGCGCCTCTCGTTCTCTGATGAGAGGGGGATGCTGAGAAGGATGTTGTTGTACAGGAAGATGGGCGCCTCGTTGGGGTGGGGGTCGTCGCGACTGCCGTCACCAGTGGTGGTGGTGGTGGGTGTGGATAAAGCTGCGACGTGCTCGGTGGGGTGGAAGGGCAGGGGAGGGGCGTCGCTGTTGATGGGCGGCACCTTGTTCTCGCGCACGCGCACCGCGCCGCTCGCCACTGCCGCGTGGAAGTCGCTGTACAGCTGCCGGTAAGGTACACACATGACATGTGGGAGGGAGAACGACAGAAATGAGAGCGATTCTGGCCCTGCCGTGGTGTTGTGTTGTGTGCTGGCTGGCTGACCGACCTTGAACATCATGCGGTCTCTGAACAGTTCGTCGACCTCTTTGAGGACGCTCTTGTCGGTGTTGCAGTTGGGGGGACACTCGGTGGGGGTGGGCGGGGGCGGGGGTCCCCCTCCAGCCTCCGCGACAGCGGGATCCTCCCTGGGCCTGTCCTTCTTGAGTGGCAGCTCCCTGAGCGTCTGGAACTCCTCGTTCCACTCTCGCGGCACCCCCCATGGCTCCATTCCCACACCGTTTTCCGTCTCGAGCGACTCCTCCGCCCTGTCAAGGTCGTACTCATGCGCCTGCATAGCAAGCAACCAACATAGCCAATAATGTCAGTGTGTCTGTCTGTGTGTGTGTGAGCGAGCCTTCAGGTGCGCAAGTAGGTAAGGTACCTCGTGAGTGCGTGTGACCCAGTGAGTGACGGGAACGAGCAGCTGCACGAGTGGCGGCACCAGGATGGTGGCGAAGCAGTGGAGGTCCGACGGACGGATGGCTATCTGATGCAGCGCCTGACCGAATCGGGGACTGACGGATGGACGGACAAACGACACAAACGTTTGACACATCCACCAGACGGACAGATGACTCACACAGTTCCTTCCGCATTGCATGGCTCCTGCAGCTGCGGCTACCCTACCTGTATGTGCGCAGCAGGTCCGCAAGCAGGTGGTAAGTGGCGTGTTTGGCGTCTTCCTGCCCCTCATGGCCGCCAGCGGGCTTGCCATTGGGCTGTCCGCCCCCACTACCCTCCGTCGTGTCCACCTCTGCGGTTCTGAAGTAGTCAGCAATGTCCCTGCTGCTTGAGTATCTGTCGGCGGCGCACTTGATGACCCTGAAGCCCTGCTCTGTGGCCGCGATGATGAGCATCTGGTCCTCCATGGTGCGAGCCTCGTAATACCATATGTCGCCCCGCAGCCTCCTGCGCTTGGGTGGTGGGTTCCAGCCGCTGGAGACGATGTACTCGAGGGCCTTGATGTGCGCCTTGGTGAGCATCGGGGGTGGGGCCGTCACCAGGAGCACATCGTCCTCGAGCGTGCCGGCGGCATAGAGCTGCTCCGGCCCCTTGATGGTGGGAGGCATCACATCGGTCGGATCCCGCCGCAGCAGCCCTGTGCCATCTTCCCCTCCCCCCTGCCCTGTGGTGCCCTTGCCGTGCTTCCTCTCCTTGTCCTTCTTCTTGTGGTGGTGGGACTTGGACGATGACGGCTTCTGATGGTTGTGGTTGTTGCTGGCGTCGCTCTCGGGTGCTGAGGGGTGGCCGTTGGCGGTGGGCTGTGCTGGGGGCGTGTTCTGGATGTCCTGGAGGTCGATCTGGTTGGAGATGGCGCCGGTGCTGTCGGCATTGACGATGATGTGCTGGTCCTTGGTCAGGACGTCGCGGAGCCGACGCACGTGCAGCTTCACCGTCCGCTCGTTGTAGGGATCTGAAGAATGAGGGTGGGAGGAATCAGACAGAGACCATCAGGTGGGCTGGGTGCGTGTGATTGTGTTTCAGGTGCGGACGGACAGACATACCCCCGACTAGTTTGAGAACGGATCCATCCTTGAGCCCCTCGGTGCTCCGCAGCTCTGCAGAGCTCTGCAGACGGCGACCCTCATACTCAAGCTGTGACACACACGCAGGCACACACATCCCACGGCACGGCACGGCACGGCACGGCACAGAAAACGACACACACCAAGCCAAGTGAGACTGAATGGTGTGGGCGAGGAGCCTCCCTCCCTCACGTGATAGGCCGTGAAGAAGCATGTCGGCAGCAGCTCCACCAGGAGGTTCTCGATCTCACTCGCACTGTCGTGAGGCGATATGTCTGAACACACAGCACCACCACACCACACCACACACATACTTGCTCCATGCATCAGCTTCAGCCGTTTGCACCTGCCCATTTATCCGTCTAGTTTGCGTACCGACGTAGACCGACGCCCCAGCCGGGGTCGGGAGTTCGACTTTGAGCTTCCATTGCGCCCTGCACTCCATCCGCTCAAGCCAGGCAGACGAATGGGATGGTGACCTCCAAAGCAGTGAGGCGGTCTGAAAACACACACGCACAAGAGGCCGGAGATTGGACTGTCCTCTCTGCCATCCATTGGGCAAGTCGTCCGTTTGTGTGCAGCTCACCTCTGCCAATGCGACTCGCGAGCCTAGGGGCACTCACGGCGGCGAACACACCTGCCCTCCACTTGCCCTCCTTCCTCTGGGGCGAAGCTCGCAATTGGCAATCCGGGTCGACATCGGCAGAAACGCTGACTGAGGAGGCATTATACTCCCCTCAGGGCCCGGAGATTGCCAGTTCTTTCTAGAAATGAACGGAAAGTGCCAGGTGAGCCCGGGGAAAGCGCTGGATGGTTTCTTGACGTTTTCACTCATTGCATGCAGGCGTGACGACAGTACCAGCTGCTATCAGACGATGCTTGTTGTTGCGGCCTCTCACAGCCTGACCATTCGACGCAAGAAGCCGTGGAAGCGGGCCGTTTGGGATCCCTGCAGTCAGGTAGTACCAGGAGGGAAAAATGCGCCCCTGTGTCTGCCTGCAGATGTGGTGTGTCTGACATGGTTCGCGTGTGTGCAGGGCGCCTCATCTGATGGAGTTAGTTTCGTGTTGGTTGACGAGCATCGCGTGGCGGAGCTGTCAGAGGACGGCACGGCCCCCCGGAAGAATGCTGTCACCCGGCGCATGGGCCACCGCCTCAGGCTCATCTCCCACCAATCATCAGGTACTCTCACTCAGAATTCACGGCCCCTCTATTCACCACACTGTGCTGCCTCCGTCCATGTGCGTGTGGGTGTCAGGTGGGTATGTGGCTGGTGTGCAGTCTAGTGGCGGCATGTTTGTGTGGAATCGGCATTCGGGCACTGTGCACATCGTCGCCGCCACCCCCCTCCTCCCGTCCCTTATAGAGGAGGCCATCCGATGGCTGTAAGTCCACACATTCGCGCATAATGCCGATTGGCTCTCACATGCGTCTGTCTGTGCTGTGGGTGTGTGGCGAGCCTCTCTCTCGTCGTTCAGCGATTCGGGGTCCGGGGGCGACGGCGGTGTGGGTTTGTCTCAGTACCTGCCCTCCTCCCTGCTCAGGCTGCGCAAGAGCCGCCAGGCGCAGCTCGCGGCCACTGCTATGATACGCTCCATCGACGTCAGCGCCGATGGTGTGGACATGATAGATATGTCACAACAAGGCGTTGATCAATCCATCGAGATAGCATAGCTGCCTGCATTCATGTGCCCTTTGTGCATCTGTCTGTCAGGCTGCCTGGTAGCGGTGACGACGCAAGAGGGCAACTTGTGGATCTGGACTGCACTCCAATCGGCCGCTGAGCACGGTAGGTCGCATCGCAGCCAAGGCTTCGCTTCACGCCAGCTCAGCACGCATAATGTCTGTCTGTCTGCATGTTTGTGTGTGTGCGGCGGTTGATGCGATGTGTGCAGGGCAGTGGCATTGCGTTGAGCCCCTCCAGCGGCCCTTGCCGTCACAACCCGCCGCCGCTGCTCCCATAGCCAAAGTCCAGAGGGTCGTCTTCATGCGCGACGAGGTATCCTGACAGAAAGACCCACGCCCACAACGCCACTACACGCCGATGCTTCTGCCCTGCTCCCTGCTGCAGAGGGTGGGGCAAGCCGTCCTAATGGTTAGTGTGGGCCTCTATCGCTTCCAGGAGGCGGCCTGCAACGCAATCGCAGCCTATGGAGACCACGGTGCGGCGCCATGCGCCTCATGTGGGGGTGTCTACACAGTGCCGCACGGCAGTGGGAGCCGCAGCAGCGTTGTCTCGCCTGCGAGGGGGGATGACTGTCCGGCGGGCATGAACGATGACAGTGGAGGTGTCGATGGGGCCGAGGAGGAGGAGGAGATCGCGGCGCTCTGCACATTCACCCTCGCCCTGCCCAAGGACGAGCAGAGGAAAGGCGAAGGCCCTTCGTGTCGCTACGCCCAAGCGTCCTTCCTGATCCCTGTCGGCCTGTCGGAGGAGCACCTTTACACACCCCCACCATCAGCCAAGACCACATGTCCGACCATGCTACTCGACCTCAGCAGCAGCGACCCTCCCCCTGACTGTCCGTCCCCTCCCTGCCTCCCCGTGGTAGCGCTGGCCATCAATGCGAGCGTCCCCACCAAGGCCCAGCTGCTGCTCGTGCACATCCCGGGGCTCATCATGGGGCTGGCTTCACTCGCCAGGGGCCGCCGGCTCGGCAGCACAGGGCAGCCCTGTGGTGGTCACTGCCCGCTGTGTGAGGGATTGGGTGATGGTGTGAGGGGGGCCGTGACGCCTCCATGGGTGCCTGTGGCGACGAGGGTGCAGCTGGCCAAGGTCTTCCTGCAGGAGGTGCCATCCACTGCAGCTGTGGCAGCTGGTGGCCAGCCGGCTGTGGGGCTGGCGGCTGTCGACATGGTCGCCGGTGTGGCATGGGAAAGTGGTGGCCGATTCCTCGCCGTTGCATTCCGGTGCGGTGACACGACGATAGACAGACAGCAAATGCGTCCGTCCGTCATTCTGATGTGAGTGGTGTGGTGTATTTTCGTACGCGTGCAGGTCTGGTCTGGTCGGCTTCATCTCGGCTGTGGGCGGAGGTCTCTTGGCAACATTCCATCCCTTGGCCGGGTCGTCCCTCCAGTCCGAGCCCATCCTCTCGCCCTTCTGGGCCTTCTTCGCCCCTCCCTTCGCCCCTCCCACGCCCCCAGCCTCACAGCCCCATCGCGACAAATACCCGCCGCTTCACTCTATCGGCTTCCACCCGTCAGCGCCCCTGATGCTCCGGAGCGACGGCTTCAGTGTGTGCAGCTTCTCCCTCACACTGCTGCCGTCGACCAGCCCGACCATCCCCCGACCACCGCACGAGGGGCTCACACATGTCCTCCAGCGTGTGTGGGAGGAGGTGGTCCACCCCTGCACGGCCAAATACGACGGTGCTGTGCGGCCCAAGGGCGTCTTGGCGGCCGGGGAGGACGGCGAGGGGCGACAGGGGCTGGCTTTGGAGGGCGTGTCGGCTTATTTGGGCCGTGTGGGTGAGGTCGACTCGTTGCTTGCGCTTGAGATGGTGTGGTGGATATGTCGGTGGATGACCCTGGCTGTGAGCCTCGACCCGGGCCATGTGCTCGCCGGCGTGAGGCAGCTGCTGCGCTGGGCGCTCAAGCGCCAGAAAGCATCAGACCAACACACAGGGTGTGCAAACCAACACCGGCGTGAAGGCAGTACTTTTCCTGACCTGTCTCTCTTTCCTGATCTCCATCTTCATGCAGAGCGTGTGTCGGCGCTTGTTTGCTGGAGGTACTGGTGGCGCATCGTCTTGCGCTCGAGTCGCCCTGCAGTGACTCTGCCGCACTGAGCACTGGGCTCCCCTCCCTGGACTTGCCTCTGGCCACTGGGTCCTCTTGTCCAGCCGGCAAGATCGCCAGGCTCCGCTCGCAGGCCAGCCTCGCGGGGCTCCGTCTGGAGATTCCCATCCTACCCCTGGCACCCCACAGCATGCCCCGCCCGCAGCCCCGCCCCGCCACACCCACACACGCCAGGTGCGCGACGGCTTCGCTGATGCGTCTGCTTGAGCCGGTGGAGGCGCCGGAGCGGGACCACGAAGCAGACAAGCAGGAGGCAACGGCGAGGGCGGGAGAGAATGCGGCTGTGTTGGTTCGGGAGGCGCTGGCAGATGTCAAGGTGGTGTGTGAGGTGTTGCAACTCGGTCTCGGGCCTGCCGACAGAGCCAGAAGGGCCAAGAGAGAGGGAGCCACCGTGACGCACATGGGCCCCCATGTGGTGGTCGAGCCACACTACCCAAACGCCCACGCTGAGAGAGCGGGCGACGACCACAAGGGGCAAGACCGGCGGAGCGAGACGCGGCACAACGACTGGAGGAAGAGCAAGGCGCGCGTGGGGCTGACATGGCTTCTCGAGGCTGGGACCGTTCTGTCGCACTTCATCGAAGGCGCACCGACGACGCCTCGCGAGGGAGCTATCGAGGCCCGCACGATCGCCCGACGGGTGGTGGAGACGCATGCGCGGCACAAAGACGACACCCTTCCCGCGTCGTTGTCGCAGCCCGCTGAGAAGGCGTGGCTGACTGTGATGGCGGCACTCGTGGCGTCCAATGCGGCCGAGGTCGCCTCAGCCATCCTGAGCATGCTGTGCGACCGGTCCCTGTCCTCACCCCTCAGCCGATGGGAGGTCGTCACTCTGGTGGCGGCGACCGTCCTGCACATGGCACTGCACCACCAGCAAGGCGACCAGACCAACCAGGACAAGGACCCCTGTGCGTCAAAGACCCCCTCCTCGGCCCCTCTGCCCAGCTCAGCTGCTTCCATCGCCATTGTGTGGACGCTCGATCTCACACGGGCGGTGCAGCAGTGGCTGCAGGACCCCCCTCCTACCCCCCCGGCATTCGAATCGATGGGGCGGCTGGCAGACACCGAGTCGGTCAAGCTGGGCCGCGACCTGACCACCCCTGCGGTGGGGCTGCTGGCGGTGGCGGGCAGGCGCAAGAGGCGGCGGGAGGAGGGCCCGAGGAGCACCGACTGGGAGGAGGGACACATCCCTGACATGGCCCGCCCGCTGCACGATGACGTGGTGGAGTCGACGGCAGAGTCCCCGTCACAGCCGCGGATGGCGTCGTCATCCACTGTGGCCGCCATGTTGCTGGACCGATCGGCACATGAGGCCATGTCGCCGGCCATTCCCCAGCAGCAGCAGCAGCAGCCGCCACCCACGGCATTCGTGTCTGAGCGAGATGCGATGCATCTGGAGGAGCTGCTCCTGTTCGTGTCGCTGTGCGGGTGTCTGGTGTCGGGCCAGCCTGTGCTGGCGCTGCTGCTCACCTGCATGGGGAGGGGCGAGGCGGCCGACTCCAAGCAGACACACAAGGAGGGAGTGCTGACGGTGCCTGCTGCTGTTGTCGAAACCTTGGTTGCGGCTTTGGAGGGCCGAGCGGGTGCAGACATCAAGTGCCAGGTTGGAGAGGCTCTCGTGGATGCCGTCACGGGCTGCGCGTGCACCCTCATCCAGAGAGTGAGCAGAATGAGGGACGAGGGATCATGTGCTGAATCGTAGAGTGTGACTTTGTTGCTCCGTTTCTGTGTTGCTTCCGCAGATTGACTGCAGGGACGCCGGAAAGACATCTATGTCGCCATTGCGTGTGTTGACGTCGGTCGCCACAGCCGCCCTGCGTGACAAGGAGGGGGGCCCGAACGTGCGGATCAGCTGCAGGTTCATTCGGGAAGCCCTCTTCAGGTGAGTTCTAATGGGTCAATGACGCTGTGAGTGACACAATGCTCTTTCTCTGCTAATCCAACCACCTTTTGGTGGTCTGGTCTCTCTGTCTGCTCCGTGTGTGGTGCACTGCAGGTACTGCTACGCCATTGATCGGTACGGCAGTGTGCTGTGGCTGGGCCACACGGCATCCCTACTACACGACATGCGGCGCACACACATGTGGCACCGTGGCATGGAGCCACAAGAGGACCCTTACAAATCCGCTGTGGTGGAGCGCATCCCCAAGCCGCTGGTGGGAGTCGGCACCGTGGAGCTCGCGAGGCTGGTCCTCGCCTCCCTGCGGCTGCACGTGGAGGCCGCCTTATCCTCGACACTCTTCAACGAGGACAGCATGCCCCTCCCAGTCCCCTTCGTCAATCGGCTGCGCCACCTGCTGACGGACGAGGCAGACATCGATGCCGTGGCCCCCCGCCTGCTGGGCTATGTGCCCCGCTGTGGGCTCTGGCGTGTGGCGACGACGTGGGACACGGTGCTGCCCACCATGATGATGCAGCGTGACGACGGAGGCGCCATCGAGACGTCTGCTCTGCTCGGCAAGATCGCTGTGCCGCTGCAGCCGTCGGGTGAGCCCTTCTCGTCACCCCCATCATGGACACCGGTGGACATCGCCCCCCTCGGCCATGGCACCTCATCGGCGCCGTCCGACCCTCCCCCGCTGCCCGCGGAGCTGCTGACATTCGAGACCAGCCAGCTGCAGACCATGGCGCAGCTGGAGGACCACCTGTGCGCGGCCCTGGGCCTTCTGGACATCTACCGCAACGTCCGGGCCGGCCTGCAGGAGAAAACAGCCACAGGTGCGGCGGATGCGAAGGAGGCGGCCGCGCTGGAGAGTGTGGCTGAGGGGCTGCAGCACCGGATAGGGAGGGGAGTCTGGCTGCTGGTGGTGCGGGACAAGCTGCTGAAGGCCTTGCTGCGGAAGGAGCTGGCGCAGTCGGTTGCCTGGGCGTGCCGTCTGCTCGACTTTGACGACGTCTACCCCTCCAGGCGGCTGCACGAGGTGCTCATCGCCCTCCTGGAGGCCATCGCGGCCGCCACCCCGCCCCTGCAGCACCGTCGTGTGGTGACGCTCAAGGGCGCCTGGCTGATTGTCCGGTCGGTCGAGCGCTACTTGAGTGACGAGCAGACCGAGGGAAGGCCACCACGAATCCCCACCAGGCAGGCACAAATCTGAATGGTCCTCCCTCCCTGTTGGACCAACTCACTGCTTGTCTTGTTGTGCGGTTTGTGCAGCATGAAGGCTCGTCTGAGCAGTGTGGCACAGAGGCTTAGTGACAGCGGGATGGTGCCCACACTCAAGGCTCGTATTCCGGCCCCCAAGTCCCCAACGACCGTCGCCCCCAAGTCGGCTGAGGGACACCAGCGGCACCACCCCTCGTCTGCCGTGGCCAGCGACCCTGTGTACCAGCATGTGATCGGCCGCCTGTTCACCCGGTGCACCAACCACGTCTGTCGCAACTACCAGAGGGCCAAGGCGCGGGCATTCCAGCACCTCAAACACCTGCACGCCCACTTCAGGTGAGGGAGCTTTGGTGTGTGGACTGGACACCAGACCAGACCAGTAGGGGGGATGGGATGGGCCATTGTGAATGAATGCATCTTGGTCAGGGAGGTGGAGAAGCTGCATCTGACCAAGACAGCTAAAGGGCTGCAGCCGCATGCACGAGAGAGCTCCCTCTCCACCATTAGCGAGGCCTATGTGGAGCAGCCGACGGGCCAGTGGGGATGGGACGACCGCCCGCTGCCCTACCTGCCGGGCAGGGCCGATGACGCCCTTGACGTGGTCGTGGACCCCGATGCCTACCCCTCTTTCTCGTCCTTCCTCGCCGCACTGCAAACGCCATTCTCTGTCATTCAGGTCAGACAGACAGACAGACAGACAGACAGAAGCTGCCTCACACACACTGGGGCAGGGCAGACAGGATGGATTCTTCCATTGCATGTTTGTCTTGTCCCATCCTTTCAGAAGCAAGCTGCGGCGAAGGACACCGAGGACAAGCTGGATGCATTTGTCAACGCCCCGATAGAGGGACCCATGACGGCTCGCCGCGCCCGTGAGGCGATCGAGCCGCTGAGCCTGCCACCCATCCACCGCCCCCACCCCGCCCCCCGCTCGCCGTCCTTCCTGGGCACGTGCAAGGTGCCCGACTGCGCTCCAGACCATCGACACACCTTCACCAGGCTATCTGGCGACCCCCATGACAGCTACGTGAGGAACGCTGATGCGCATCCACATGACCAGCCACCCATGGCTGCACAGAGGCAAGAGAATGATGACGATGAGTCGAGTGAGGATGGTGAGGAGCAAGGGAGCGGCGAGACAGACAACCATGCGTTCTCGGCGTTGCTGGAGCCCTCATCGACCACCCCAGGGCTGAGGGCAGGAGAGGCCGACCAAGGGGGCAACGAAGTGGAGAGGGTGGCAGAAGCTGTGCTGGTGGATCATGACACACAAGGGGAGGGCGGTGGGTCGGTTGCCGTGACGTCGTCGTCGTCAGTCGGTGGGTGGCATGACATCCGCGGGCGGCTGCGCATGCAACGGATGAAACGGATGAGGGGCCGAGGTGTGAGCCACTCGAGGGATCTGCTGCCGCGTGTCGTGTCCACCGTTGGGGCCATGTCGACAGGCCTCACACCGCCCAGACGGATTCGGGAAGGTCCGTACACAGTGAATGAATGAATGCACTAGAGCGACCTATGCGACATGTTTGCAAGGCTCGGTGTGCTGTCCTGCTGCCCGTCTGTCTGTCTGTGTGCAGGTGTGCAGAAGCTGGTTAGGAAGATCGGGAGGGCGCCAGGCACTCGGCTCAAGGCCAAGAGCCCCCGGGCTTCGCAGTACCTGCCCTCCCTCACCCCCACATCAGTTGTCCCCTGTGCACCAGACGCCACCCCCACTCCTGGTGGTCTTCCCACTGCAATCGTCACGCCTCCACCACAGCCCGTCGAGCCACAAGGAGCGGCACTCAAGCAAAGGACCATCTCAACTGAGGCCGCCATGCTCGTCACCTCTGAGACCGGCACCACGGCGCAGGACACCCCAAGCGAGAGCGACAGGAGAGCTGACAACGAATGCAGCCCCTGTGTGGAGCACGAGGCGCTGCAGCAGGCCGACATCGACGCAGGCATCGAGCTGTCGCTGCAATGCAGCGGATACCTCGATACTCCGTCAAACGAGTCGTTGGTCCAAGACCCACCGCCACATGAGGCTGACGCCAGCGCAGCCCGCGTTCTAGCCGCGTTGAATGACGCACTTGAGAGCAGCGGCCGCCGGGTGAGGCCGCCGCCCGACAGAGAGGTCGACCACCGCTCGCCCCGCCTCTTCGTCACCCATCCAGACACTTTGCATGGATCAAGTCGGTGGGGCGAGATGGACCTGCGGCTGGAGGACTTCGACAGCCATGATGATGATGATGACGTGCAGGGGGTGGACCTCGATCCGCATGAAGATCAAGGAGACGACCATGGCGCGGAGGAGGAACCCGTGATGGGCCAGGGTGTTACACCATCTCAGCTGCCTGAGCCCGCGGCTGCAGAAATGGAGGACATATCTGAGGTGCAGGTGGCCGAAGAGGCGCCTGATCACCCTGACGATGGTGCCGCCCTCCAGCAAGCGCTGGACGGCACTCTGCATGATCACCCTCTCCCACCCGAGCACGACGACGAGACGGCTGCTCTGCAACACACCGAGGTCGCCGCGCCAACACCACCACCACCGGCGGAGGTGGAAGGCGCTGAACTCGTCGACGACACGATTCCTGATGCAGATAAGGATGAGGGGGCGATGGCCGTTGTCGACGAGCCCCATGTCCCTGATGACCTGGACCGAGGCAGAGCCGACACTCGGCGGCACGAGCCCTTCCCTCTCACCCCCATCATCTATCCAGATGAGGACAAGCCCACGCCCGCTTCTCGAGATGCACCATCGCCACTCAACACGGCAGCGCACCACCCCGACCACCACAAGCACGCATTCTCGACAGCAGCGCGGAGGGCCCACGAAGCCAGGCCAGTCGCCGACACATCGGACAGCGAGAGCTACGACAACCGCCCCTCCAGTCGCCCTTGTCATCGCTGCCCCTTATCTGGGGGCGGTCGTTATCGCAGTGGCTTCTTGACGGAAGAGCGCACGCGGACTCGGGTCCCCCTAACGGGTGTGACCGGTGTGACAGCACGGTATTGCCTGCTCGATCGGCTGCCCGAGGTCCTGGAGCAGTCACAAGGGATTGTCGAGCACGCGAGGAACCTGCCCCCTTTGCCGCGAAGACGACCTCACCGCGTCAAGAAGCGATGTGATTTCGACCCGTTCTTCCGCACGGGGATCATGGAGACATCGTTTCCGTCGATGCGGGCGACATTCGGCATGAGGACCGCCCCGCCATCGGCTGACCTGCCGCCCCCACACATCGATCCCTTCGTCTTCGTTCCCCCACCCCAGCCCCCAGACGTGGGCGAGCCATCGGAGCCTCCTGGTGGGGTCGATGTGCGGACGCGCACAGTGACCGACGCGGCGGTGTCACCCCAAACGGCCCCCGTGAAGAGGCCCCCCGAGCGGCGCGACACGTCGGTGGATGCAATGGAGGCCGCTCAGACGCACGACAAGGCAACACAGCACGATCCTGCGGACGCCCGGCCACAGCCAGCTGCCACTGACGATTCGATGGACCTGGTGGGTGCGCGTCTGACGACCATCGAATCGTCAGTCCGCCGTCTGGAAGAAACACTCGAGATAATGCGGAAGCGGCCGCCATGGGGCAGAGATGCTGGTGCAGGAGATGGACAAGGCGGTCGAGGCGAGATGGGCACGGGTGGTGCTGGGGGCCTCAACATCGATGTGGCAGCCGTTTCTGCCCGGCAGCAGCCGTCTTCCCGCTTTCCATCCCCGATGATCTCCCTGCGTGAGCGGTACAAATTCATCTGTTCCGAGCTGCCTGCTGGCGGAGCAGAACCCCCTCCCCCGCAGCCGCCGCCGCCCCCCATTGTGGAGCCCCAGCACACCCTCCTCCTCTACCCTGACGAGTTCCTAAAGACGCGGATCCGGTCGCCGCCGAGGTCACTCTCACCCAGACAGTCTCAGCCAAGCAGCCGCAGCCCGTCCACAAAGGCGAGAGGAGGGAGGCGCGCCGGGGCTGCACCAGCACCAGCACCAGCCAGCAGCGTCGCCAGCACAAGGGAGGGCCGGTTCCAAGCGATACGGCCCATCACCTCTAGCGGCGGAAAAAGGGCGGGTGAGGTATCGTTCCGGAGTGCCGCCCTCCGCCCATCCTCAGCTGGTGCACGCAGACGACCGACATCCAATGGGCCGTCAGGACGCAGCAACCACCGAGGGAGAGCAGCCGCGCAAGGGAGGGGGCAGGGGAGGGGCAGATGTAGGGGCAGGGGGGCGGGGAGAGGTAGGGGGAGAGCCATCCCCACGTTCAAAGCCATGGGGACGCGTTTCGGGGAGGCACTCGAGTTGCTCGAGAACATCATTGACAAAAACAGACCGTACTCTGAAGAGGCGAAAGAGAGATAGCAGCGGGTGTGGATACGTGTGTGTGATCTCTGTCTGTCTGTCTGTCTGTGTATGGTCGGTCCATGTGTATACCCACATGTTAACATTGCGGCTTCGTCTTGTGTATTGGATTGTTGCTGCGCACTGCACTCACTCCACTCTGGCCATTCATTCAATGTACAGACAAACAACGTGGCATTTCGCGACACCAGTCGGTCGACGCAGTCGTGCCATCCATCCCTCTCACATGAATGCACCAGTGCGCCGGAAGAAGGAGCGGCGCAGTGTCCATATGTGAGCAGCCTCTGTCTTTGTCGTGTAGCGCTTCGTTGAGAAGGTGTCACTCCGTTCCGTACAGAGAAACGGAGTCACGGCATCACAACAGAGAACTACAGGACAGAAACGAAGCGCAATATATACATCAGTCAGTCCTGCTCTCCGCATTGCAAAAGCACCGACAGTAGCATGCACGCGTCTACCCGCCCGATATGGGCGGTATGAGGGCCACCTCATCGCCCTCCTTTATCCGCACATCGTCCTCAGCATACTCCTGATTCACAGCCAGCAACGAATTCGGCAGCACCTGACAACAGTACACACACGGGATCTTCCACAAGCACCCTCACTCCTGCAGTGGCTGGCTCACCTTGGCGAGGGGCGGGTGTGTTTGCCTCAGCGAGTCCATGAGCTCCGCCACGCTCACTGTGTTGTCGGCAGATGATGCATTCACCTCAACATCCACTGCGCCAGCCCTCATCGCCTCCTTTGCGCCAGCAAACAGCAGCACTCTGATTCTCATTTGCCCCTCCTCGGACCATAAGCTCGCAGGCGATCTGGAGGAAGAGAAAGACCGGCATCGTGACGTCGTCGCGTCGCTGCCCAGGCACTGACCTTGGTACTCACAAAAGGCAGAGAATTCATGAGTTTTTGGTTTGTTTTGTGTGTGTCAGGAGAGGGTGGTCTGGTCTGCTGGCGCACACCGTGCACTTGAGGGTAAGGACGCCGTGACGTCATGGAGCTGAGGGAAGTTCGCGGATCTCCCACCTCTCGCTCTTCACGCGCCTTGCCTTTGGTCATTTTTCGTGGTCTCCCGGGCACCGGCAAGACTCATCTGGCGTTGGCATTCATCAAGGCCATGCGCAAGAGGGACGGCCTCGTCTTCGCCCGCGTCAGCCGCGACGAGCTGCGCCGCTCTCTCTTTTGCCGCCCGGCATACACAGAGGACGAGAAGCAGCTGTGTAACGGGCTTGTGGCAGTGCAGAGCCAGCATCTGGTGGAGCATGGGTGGCCGGTGGTGGTGGACGGGATGGCTCTATCACACATGGAGGACGTGTACGCCCTCGTCAACACCATCCTCCACACTGATGCCGCGGCCCCCAGTGTGGGCTCCGAGTGCTCCTCCGCCGCCCGGCAGGAGGCGGGCGTGTACGTGTTGCTTGTGGAGTGCTATTGCAGCGACGGCACGGCCACGCGGCGCATCGAGGCTGACGGTGCGATGCACCCGGCGGGCGACAGAGATAAGGATCTGTACTTCCGTGTCAAGGAGCGTTTCGAGCACTCTGATGACTTTGTGGGTCGGATGGGCGGAGGGCGGCGGGACGCGGGTGTGGTGTACGATAGAGTGGTGCTGTGCTCTGAAGATGACAACGCCCAGACGAACGTGGAGCTGCTGTGCGAGAGGGCCAGGGCGGCCACCAAGGCACGTTAGTCACGTGCATTGACTGATAGGTGATCGGATTGTGTGCGATTGCATGAGCAGTACATAGGTAGACGTAAGAAAGACACCACTGTCGACGTCTGTTACATCAACTAAAATGTCAGTTGTTTCCTTCCTATCAGCAAAAACCACGTGCCTTGGTGTCGGGCCTCTTCTTAAAGCGCCGCAATCATGAACTGCATCCATCACTCGGACTGACATGTGGATGACTGGTGCGGGGGCGCCTGTCCGGCGGAAGGTCGTCAGCACTGCATTGATGTCAGTGCGATGCACTATGTTTTGATATTATCGCCCATCCACACCGGATACGACGAATGAATGTACACAAACCAACGCATGGAAACATCCATCAAAGCGTGGCTGCCTGCTGTAATTGAATGGCTGTCGCCCGCCCCTAGCTGCCTACGTCTGTCTTACTTCTTGTCTATCTATCTGTGTGTCTATCCTATCTGTGTGTCAGACTATCTGGTCAGTCGAAAGCTGTTGGCCATCCGTCGCAGTTTGTCGCTCTCCGCCGCCCACTGGTCTTCGGGCGACACGACAGTGAGGGTAAACAACTTGTCCCCTCGACAGGCGATGACACTGAGGTTGTGGTACTCGAACGGCTGGACAACCCCCCTGACGATGTACTCAAACAAATACACCTCCCTGAAGACAGACACATCGGTGGGTCAGTCAGGTGAACGACCAGCAGCTAGCTGTCTCACTGACTGACCCTCCTGGCTCTCTCTGTTCGCTCAGTGCGTCAATCAGCATGGCGACTTTGCCTGAACCCTCTGGCGCTATCGCCTCGCGCAACAGAGTCTCAGCCGCCTGCATCCATTTACGATGAATGACACAGGTGGTACACGCACACAAAACAGATGTGGTCTTTGTCTGTCTGTGTAACCCACTTGTTTCGGCGGCCCGAGGAGAGAAAAGAAGGCTCGGTCATCTGTCAGCCTTAAAGTGCTCTTCACCACCGACACGTTCTCCTGGTGGATGCATCAGGGCAAACAGAGCACCTCTTGTCATGCATGTGTGACGTGTCATCCATCAATCCATCCATCCATCCGTGTGCTGAATCACCTTGGAGTCTCCTCCGCCCCCGGGCGGTCCGAAGGCCACATCGGGTGCCTCGCCTTGTGCAGCAGCCCTCTTAACAGGCCGGCCCTCGTCAAATGATGCAGCCAATGGCCGCCGAGCGGCATCCTGAACAGTCAAACAACACCCGTGCATCAGTTGAGCAAACAGGTGTCTGTCCATCGATAGGGCCAGAGGTGAACGTGTCGGCCTTTGCTGTACCTTTGCTGTGTATAGGGCGACGTCTGCCAGCCAATTGGATGGGTACAAAAACTCATACCCATCCAATTCATTGACGTACCTGCCCAGCAACAAGACAGCACTCACACGTATGTATGGCGCATCCCTTGCCTCCCTTCCTGGTGTGCTGCTTGCCTCTTCAATCCGTCAATGGGGTAGATCTGGTCAAGCCTGAGTTTTCTTGCCTGCTCAGGTGACAGCCGCAGAAGAGCCGAAGTAGCGCCAAACAGATTGGCGGCAAGGGCGGCTGCCGCGGCGCCCTGTGAGGACATCAAAGGGGGAATGAATGTGCTCCAGCCACCCGCAACCGCCCACTCACCAGAAGCACAAGAAAGCGGCGGCGGGGTGTGATGCTGTCAGGCTCTGCAGCAGGCACAACACAGGATTCATAGATCTGATGAGTGAAGATCTCGAGCAGCACCAATCTCCTGAAGCAGCCTGTCATTTCGTCGTTGTCGCAGCTTGACGCTTCTTCTCACTGGCAGCAGGGGCTGCACAAACAGAGTGGATGACGGAGGAATGACGGCATGTGTCGCCGCCTCAATGAACAGCATGTTGCCACGCGTGTTGGTTTAACGAACAGAACAGCTGCCCTAAGCGTGCGAGCTATGATGTGCGAATGAAAGGAGCGTCAAACCCGCTGGCCTGAGGGCCTTGTCGGCTTCAATGTATCGGCAGTCGTCAGCTGGTAGTCTTACAGACAATAGTTGAGACAAGACGGAGATGATGCGGGTAGTGGGCTCTCCAGATGCAATGACCCAATCAGGTAACAGCCGCAGCAGGACTGCCATCGACCTCAGCAGAGCGGCCGGCCGGCCAGCAGCACAGGGGAGCAGTCCATCAACAGACCGTCGGCGCCTGTTCCTCAGGCTGCAGAGAATGAAGCCAGCCGTGAGGTATGCGGCAGGCAACCACCCCCCCTCTTACCACTCTCTCGGACCCCGCCCATCGCACCGACCTGTACTCCCGCATCCGCCTCGGCATGTCCGACCTGCAGCTCCGGCACAGAATGACCCCTCTAGGCAGCGCGTCATGGCGGCCCACCCTCCGGCCGCCCCTGGCGCCCCTGCGGCAGGTGTGCCTGCAGCTGCACAGCACTCGAGCCCTAGGACGAGTATATTGAGGGTGGAGGACGCCATGGTCATGGAGGAGATTCGTTCCCAGCAAGGGAAGAGGGGCCGCGAGGACGAGGCGACCACCAATGTGGAGGAGCCACAGAGTGACGGGGCGAGCTCTTCCCGCTCGGCGGCCGCTTCTCCTGCCACGGCTGCCTCCCAGTCTCAGCCGTGCCCTCCTGATGGGCCGCCCTTTGGCGCACAGACGGCACGCGAGCATGCCGGCGGCCCGCCCAGTGTCTATGTGGACCCCTTCCAGCCCGTCTCCATGCCACCAGCCAGGACGCCGGACGCCTCCCCGCGGCGAGCCAACATGCGCAACATGCTGCCGCAGCTGCAGCTGCCCTTCGCTGGCCGGCGCATCCAGAACGGCCCAGCGCCTTTCTTGTTCGGGAGTCGGCAGGGGCAGGGGCAGGGGCGTGAGGCGCGGGGGTTTCTGTGGAGCCGTGCGCCACAGCGACCGGTGCCGGCGGGGTTCCACTCGCCGGAGCGGCCATGTGTGCCTGCTATAGTGGAGTCCCTGCCGGCATCCCCTGTGCGGCCGATGGGAGTGCCAACCACCCACGATGGAGACGAGTTTGTCCCTTCGCCACCGCCGCCGAGTCGGCCTCCATGTCCGCCCATGGTGCCACCTCTGGTCTTCCCCCACACCCAGACCCCGACTCAGGAGTTGAACCACCATCTGCCGCCGGCGCCCCGTCCCCCTCTCCCCCCTCCCGCTCTGGTCGGCTCGTCTGCCTCCCTCCCTCCCCGACCTGCACCAGTGCCCTTTCCCGTAGGGCCAGCCGCCGCCGCCGCTGCTGCTGCTGCTGCTGCCAGTGAGAGCGTGGAGGAGCGGCCCACTCACTCTCGGCAGAGCTCCAGTGACAAGACGGTCATCCACCACATGCATCGCGACCCCAGTCGGGGGTCAGGGATCGCCAGTGCGTCTCCGTCACTGCTGCCCACGGAGTGGCTCAACTCCCTCCGTGCTGCGGGTGAGGCGGAGGCCCAGCACCAGCTGCACAAAGACGTCATCGCTCTCCCACCGCCATTCCTCCCCGGAGCGGTGGCCACGCCACCCAGCGAGTCCGCCACTGGGGACACATCCGTCGGGGCATCCGAGGCACCAGCAGTAGCAGTGGCAGCAGTGGCCGCGGCGGCAGCGGCCGCCAACAGCTCCCCATCGCTGGTAGAGACGCCTGAAGATACCCTGTGTGCCACTGACACGGCGCCAGTGAGCTCGCGAGTGGGTGGGGCGACTGACAGGGGGGAGGGCGGAATGGATGGAGAGGAGGCTGGTTGTCGGACGCCGCCAGTCGCTGCGTTGGGTGCGAGGGTGGCTAGGCTGGAGGGCCTGTCGGGCAGTCCGTCGCGCAGCGAGGGCGGTGCTCTCACGGCGCGGGCCAGGGTGGGTGGTGATAGTGCTTCTAGTGGTGCTGCCAGTGGTGCTGTTGTGGCGGATAGCGACCTGGAGGACATACCACTCAACGGTGGGCAAGGCGGAGAGCCAGATGGGAGCACACAGGGACATCCATCTGTCTGTCTCGCTCTCTATCTCAGACGATTCGTCGGAGCGTGGTGGTGGCCGTCTTCGCCTCAACTCGTGCGACTCACCCGTGGTGTCCTCCAGCCCCACTCACAGGTGCTCAGGGCCGCTCGCCGACCTAGTCTGGAAGCCGCTGCAGAACTTAGTGGGCCCCAACACGCCTTGCCCAGCCGCCCCACGGAGTGCGAGGGCCGGCAGCGCCCCTAAACCAGGGATGGTGGTAGTGAAGGGCAGGGGAGGCGGTGGTGGTCAGCGATACACCAACTACGGCCCTCTGTCGAGTGAGAGAAAGGGCAGGCAGACAGGCATACAGGCAGGCAGGGATGCTTCCGTCTGTCTGGTGTGATTGTGTGATTGATTCGTTGTGTGGTTGGTGTGGTGTGTGTGCACTGCAGAGGAGACGCACGAGGCGTTCATAAGTCGGGACATCAAGTACCTGCACAAGTTGTTGTGTGAGCAGAAGCAGACCATCGGCAGGCTGAGGCAGCACCGGGACAGATACAAAGAGGAACTCGACGAAACCGTCAAGGTGAGATGGATCGAGAACACACAGCATCCAGAGCTGGCTGGCCAGTGCGCATGGCTCATCCATTTCCTGTGTGCTGTGGTCTCAGAGCAAGCAGCTGCTCTACTCTGACATGATAGAGAAGGCTAAGGTCACGCACAGACATTTGACAGAACCGGCATAGATGGCTCCTCTCTGCCCCTCCCTCTATTTTCAACGCTCAGAGCACCCATTTGGTAGCAGTTCACGAGCAGGAGGAGTTCAAGCAGCGCGCCGAAGCCGTAGGCCAACACGGGCATGGTGCAGAAGACAGCACATCAGCAGAAATTCGTCTTCGTGTGTCTGTGTGTTTTGTGTGTGGTAAATTGCAGCACCAGCGTCTGTCGAAGGATCTGTACCGGCAGGTGTCGGAGCTGGAGGCACGCAACGAAGACCTCACCAACATGCTACAGGAAAAGGTCGGCTGGGTTGTGCCACACACATCCATCATTGGATCCATCCATCCCTCTGTGTGTGTGTGTCATTCATACTTGTCTTCATTCATGTGTGTGACTGTGTGATTGGATTGCGGGTGCAGTTGCAGCAGGGTCTGTGTGTGGTGTGCATGGAGCGTCAGTCCAACGCCATCCTCTTCCCGTGCAGGCACGTCAACCTCTGCCAGGACTGCTGCGTCAGGCTGCACGTACGAGCGTCGCACTACCTAGCCACGGATCCATCTGGCACAAACACATCGGCCTCATCTCCGTCTTCTTTGTGTGTGTCGTTGGGTTGTGCCCAGACCTGCCCCGTGTGTCGGTCGCACATCGCTCACCGATTCCAAGTGAGTCGAGTCAGTGAGATAGATGGATGGATGGATGGACACGGATGAGCCACAATGGCAATGAGCAATGAGCGCCCCCTTGTGTGTGTATGTCTTGGTGCCATACAGGTCTTCTTTGCGTAGGCAGGCCTGCCTGCACACAGCTCTAGTGGCAGGGCCCTGCCGTGGCGTGCCCCTCACGGGAATGAGAGGCAGGCAGACAGGCGCGGGTCGGCGTGTCTGTCTGAACGAATCCTTTTTGGCGGGTGATGATCGAATGGATGTGTGGATTGGATGTGTGGATGTACCTACTGGATCGAAGGGGTGGTGCGTGTGTACTCTCTATACCTAACTCGTTCTCTATCAATGTTATCAATGTGTGCTATATAATTGACGCCGATAGATACCATGTTTGAATGGACTTACCTGTGGATGGATGGATGGATGAAAGGGTGCTTCATCGGCCCGTTGGTTGGTTGGTTGGTTGGTTGCCCATGCCCATGCCCACGACTGACTGACTGACTGACTCGGGAAGGCGTGATGTGATGTGATGGCTTGCGTCCGCTATGTTTATAAAAATTGCATACAGACAGACAGCCGTGCTAACTACCTACTACCGACATACATACATACCTTCAGACTGCACTGCCCTGTCTTCTCTCCTCTTGCTTGTGTCTGTCAGTCGTGTGTGAGCGTGCGTATTTCTATTAGCTATACAATGCAGTGCGCATTCATCCGGTAGGGAGGGAGGGAGAGGTGAGACCGGCATTCGACACACGACACACCCACGACCCCACCTACCCACGGTGCAGTACAGTTCAGTACAGTAAGGACGTTACTACTGGCTCGTCGCCCTCGACGAGACGCACCTGCCTGGTTTTTATTGCATTCATTACCCCAGCCGCCCCGTCTCCCGTCTTTTCTGTGTCATAGACACCTGTCCACACACACACGCACACACATGCAGACGCACACACTTGTAACCATCCACCGTGACTCGAGCCAGTGTGTGTGTGGCTGTACCCTACCCACCCTCCGACAAAGATCAATTGCTTGTGCCGCTTGCTTACCTGATGGTCTTTTGTGTGGTCAAGCGAATGAATGGATGGATGGATGGATCGTGCGACGCATTTTGGAGTGACTGTCTAGTGCAGTGTGCGCCCCTCACCTCTCCCCCCCTCCCTCCCTTTTCCCCTCCTGCCTGCCTGGCTGCCTGGCTGCGTAGTGTGTGGCTGCTGGCGTTTTCTTGGTCCAGAAGTGTGCGCCTGGCCGGCGGGCGGATGGGGGTGTGTGTGGGCTGCTGCGTGTTACAGTAGATAGAATGCTAGTTGGCGTGGGGGTGTGCTGGGGAGAGGGGTGTGCCGCCTATCATTGATTGATTCTAAAGGACACAAGGACACACACGCACACACGTATCAGTGTTCAATAAGGTCCACGGGAACGGGACAAGGCAAATCCAAGCTGCACAGAGAGAGACGACTCATACTCATACACACATGTCTATCTCTGGGTCCCCACACCACACCTCTCCCTCCACCGCTGCACACAGGCCACCTTCATCAACCCTTGACCTCAACCCCCTCCCCACCCCCGTCCTCAGGGCTATATCGGTCCTCCATCTCCCCACTGGGTGTCTCCTCCGCTCCAGTGAGGGCACGGCGCCCCTTGCTCATATCTGCCACCTTTATCACCTTAGCGAAGGCCAACACCACCCCCACCATCCCCACCAGGCTCCAGATGACCGCCCACTCGGATCTGTACAGGCCCATGAAGGACCCACGTGCGTCACGAGCCGAGGGCCCCACCTCTGCAGTGTGGCAAAGGCAACACGTGACCCTTGCTGCCTCCGGCCCCCTTGCCCTGTGTGCTTACCAGGCTGCTGTGGTGGCGGCCCGATGCCCAGCGCCTCTGCCAGCTCGTCGAGCGGCCCTTTATCTCTCTCCCTCCAAGCGTCCGCCGTGGGCGGCGTGCGGCTCGGATGCACCCAAGACGTGTGGACATGCGGCCGGTCCTGGGGCGACAGGGGAGATGTGTCCTCCGCGCTGTGCTTTATCGAATCAAAGTGTTTCTCCTTGGGGGGCTGTGGATCAGCATCAGGTGCGAAATTGCCGGTGGCTGCCTTCAGGCGGCGGTAGGCAGGGGAAGTCGCTGGAGGCTGCTGATGGGTGGAAGAAGACGTCATCACAAGTGCGTCGACGCTATGGTCAACGGCGCCATGTGAATCCGCCTCCAAGGAATGGCGAGTCCACGCACTGGGCGATGTTGGCGGCTCCCTCGTTGTAGAATAGTGATCAGTACTCACAGTATCAGTGGCTTGGAAGTATGGGGGCGGTCTCTTGATGCTGCTGAGCACCACTGGCCGCTGTTGCTGAACCCTCAGCTTCCTCGACACAGGCCTCCCGAGCACCGGGAAGAGGCTGCCATGCCTCAGCAGCAGCCTCACCCTCCTTGACGGCGGAGGCTTGGCGGGTTCGATGGATGGATGGTGCTGCAAAAGCACGGAGAAGTCGTCGTGATCATCGCTGTCCACCACTCGATTCAGACGTGTCCGATGGAGAAACTCACGGCTGGCGTATCTGCTGCTGGGCACCTGGCGATGCGAAGGCCGGGCAAGTGACACAGAGATGCAAAGGACGAGAATAAGGTCCGCAACACCTTTCATCCTGCTTTGCCATGAACACCGCGCGATTCCGTAAACTTCTCCTGTATTTACATTCTGGGAGCCTCAATGCTTAGGTATCTACCTGTGAGGGTCTACTCGTCACTCGTCTTTGCCCTGCGACTGAGCTGATAGCCGGTGCCCCGCCCCGGCCCTCCGTTTCAAGGCCTGCAGGCTCGACAATACCTCTGCTATTTGCTGCTTTGCGCGGTCGCTCGTGCTCAGCGACCCCTTGCGATAGTGCAAAATGCGCTCGAGAAACTCTGCGCTTATCCCCTGATCCTTGTCTTGCCTCTTCAGCTTCATTGCCGCACTCAGACTGAGGCAGTGGTAGGCAAGAAAGAGGAGGGACACGCCGCCGCCAATGACGAACAAGCTGGGCAGCCACGACAGAGAGGGGCTGTTCAGGAGGGGAAAGAAGACCACCACGATCGAGTAGCAGATGGTTGCGCAGATGAGGGAGACGACGGCGTAGAAACGGGCCCAAAAGATGAAGGCCGTGCCGACGAGGATGCCGCTGTTTTTCTCCTGGAGGGCCACCTGGATGGCACGCTCACCTGATGGACGGACGAATGCATGCAAGAGCTGCACCATCATTCTCTTTTCTCCCTTACCGGCAAAATGGTCAATACACGACCGCTGATAAACTTCATGTCCGTCCCGAGGCTTGAACGGTTCCTTGTATGTGCCATCAACGGGGTCTTTGAAGACCTTCCCCTCATGCATTTGCTGCACCGCCACTTTTATCTCACTGTCGACCTTCTCAATGTCTCTGAAAGGGAAGAATGTCAGCTTTATGAGGAATGAACACAGCGCCAGAGAGGTTGGAATAAAGGAGAAGAAGAGACGAATAGTGGCGATGACCGCCAAGGTCTGCGGCTGCGGCTTGCCCTTCACAGAGGGCACTAACCAGATGCAGCCTGAACAAAAGGGCCGATGTTAACAATGGTGCGGGTGTGTTGTCTTGGTATCTCACCAGCATTGAGATGGGCAAAGCCGTAGCGGGGACCGCCACGACCTTGGGGACAAAAGAAGCGAACATACAGAAGCTTGCCTCGGTTCTCTCGCCCGTCCGCACCTGCACAGGTGCAACATCCTTGCATTCACGAATCAACGCCCTCCTCCCTCCCTCCTTACTTCATCATAGTCAATAATCAGCCCCCGCAGGTTGGTCGTCAGGAAGGAGGCGCCCAGAGGTATCCCATTGAAGAGGCAGAAGACAGCCGACAGCGCCATGTCTCCCTTGCCGCAGAAGACGAACAGCCCGTTGGTGATGGCGTTGACGCAGTTGAAGGCCAGCCACGCCTTGTAATCACCAATCTGTTTGGCGAGCGTCAGCCACATGGGAGCAGCGACGATGGCGGCCACGAGAAATAAGCAGACGGCCACACCGAGCCAGCACGGGGTGCTGCAGGTCCAGTGGGCGAGATCGAGATTGCTTTCGTAGCAGAATTCCTCGGGGGCCGTGACGAACTGAATGAAGAATGGCAGCATCGTTGCCGCCATGTTAGCCACAGTGACATCCAATATCCACGCCAGCACGAGGACGCGGAAAGGCGCGTTTCCCATCGCACCTGATACAATGACCAAAACATAGAGACAGACGTGCTTCCTCCTTTGCCTGTCTCTTTCTGGCTGCGCACCGATGAAGCTGGGCACCTAGCGTGGCAAAAGAGACATCAACCATGCAGCAATGTCATAGAAGCGGCATCTGAGGACGTACTATTGTTTCGATTTTTGTGAGTTTTGGCGCCTCAGCCCCTGTGGCGGCAACCGCCCCAGCCTCTGCATCTCCCGCTGACCGAATGCCTATGAGGCTCGACTGCCGTCTTCTCTTGGAAGCGTTCTCTCGGATCGCCCAGACGCAGTGGAGCATAGTTGTGATATGCCAGAGAGCGAAGAATCCCCCGATGACGAGAAACGCCCCCTTCTGGGTGTGCGCCTGGCACTGCAGCAGCTGCCGTGCCTCGCACAACTTGGTGTCAGGCGCATTGGTGCAGGCGGAGAGGTCGCACCTGTCCATCAACAGGCCGAGGAGGACGGGGGACACCGATGCGATGAGGCTGCCGAGCCCCTCGAATATCTTGACAATGAAGAAGACGCCTCGTCGCTCCTTGGGGTCGCTCGTCAGCTCCTGCCCCAGAGCATTGAACGGGATGTGCGTCAAGGTGTCGGCCATGAAGAAGAGGATATAGAAGGCTCCAAACCAGTAGCTGAAAAGACAAGTAGAAGGGACATGGTGTGCAACGGTGCTCTCCTTATATACTTCTGGCTGACCTGACTTCCGGCTTGCCGGTCACTGCTGTCGGCGGATTGCACAAGAGGAACAGGAAAGCTCCATACAGAAACGTACCCACAAGCATAAATGGCCGTCCTGACGTCACGAGCGCACACACACTTGGTGACTATCGGCCCATCTCGTGCACTTGTCTTGTCCTCTTGTGTGTTACTGCGTCCGTAGGGCGTCTCGGCTCCATCAGTTATGTTGGCCATTAGCGGGTCCGTCAGCACATCCAGCGACCGTCCAATCGCCTGTAAGAAGAGATTGATATTCATGCTGCAATCTGTCTCATCTCGCGTGATTCCTCACCTGAAAGAATGCAAGAAGAGCCAGCGACGCACCCAGCTTCTCGTAGTGGACAAGAATGTGGACGGTGATCAGCCGCTGCATGGACATCTTAGCCAGTTCAGGGGCAGCGTAAGAAACGCTCTTCCACTGCACACGCAAACCGCAGTCCAGAAAACAGACACACAAGATCCGTCAGACGCCTGCATCGGATGCGTGTTGTCTCTCTCTGTGGATGCATGTCAATGCATCTGTCGATTCCATCAATCCATTCGTCCACCCATCTGAAAAATCCATACCATAGGTACCTTCCCCTCCAGCGGGCTTGCGTTGGGAAAGAGGTCGACGTTGCGCTTCAGCAGCACTCCCTGTACCCTCTTCCATGCCCCCCCACCCACCGACTGCATCTTCTCCTCCGCCACTATAGTGTACTCGCCGCTTCTCAGCTGGAAGGCCTCTGGAGGGTCGAACACAAGCTGCGTCTCATCGCTGTGGAACACCGAGTACTCGTGCGACGACAGGCCGCCCAGCAGGGCATGGCACTCCTGCTCAAATGAACATCATCAGAGAATGTGTGTGCACGCCGTTCTGCATCTGTGTATGCGACCTTCTGGAACGATGAGCGCTGCTCTTCAAGCGCATTCAGATCTTCCTGGGCGACGGCCCGCCAGCGAAAGGCCTTTTTCTCGCCTTTGAAGTTGATGGCAAAGGACAGGTATCCACCACCGCAGCAGCCCATGGATAGATCTCTCAAATGCGATGGAGTCGAGCCTTCCCAGCTCGTCCGTTTCACGAGTCCGAAATCGCGCGCAACGATGCGCGATGCAGCATAGAAGGTTTATCGCAAAGGTGAGGAGATGCGCTTGGTTTCAACATACATGATCCATGCATTCATTCATTCCCGCAGGTCGTGTTCCTCTCCGCGCCTCTGCTCCATCATGCCTCTCCAGCGCATGCGTCCCTGAAGCCGCCGCCTGCATTCTTCTCCTTCCGGTTTGCATCCATCCTGATGAGCAAGAGGGCCGCCAGAGGCCGCCTCAGCGCCGCGGGCAAAGACGCCGTTCAGCCGACCAGTCCTGTCGCATCCATCAGGAAACGCCAGAGGCGCAGCGTGAAGAAGGCGGAGGAGGTGCCTGGTGAGCCGCCTCCTGCGGATTGCAGTGCTGTGGTTGAAGGTTTGGACGGAGGTTCGTCGCTGCCGAGGGCGATTGAGGAGTCGGTGCTAGCTGCTGGGGAGGCGGAGCATGTCATAGGCGTTGATGAAGCGGGGCGAGGGCCTTTGGGTACGTACGGCAGATCTGCAGTGTGTGCACATGTGTGGATGCGGATCAGATCTCTTCTTCTTTGCTGGCGTTGTGTTGTGTTGTGCAGCTGGCCCAGTGGTCGCAGCCGCGTGCCACATCCCACTTGGGGTTGACCTGCCTGCTATCAGGGTGACCGGGGGAGGAACCAACACTCACTCATCGTGTGTCATTACATCTGCGGTGTGTCCCCGTGTGCGCAGGATAGCAAGGCCATAAAGACTGAGGCGGAGAGGGAGGCCATCTATGAGAAGCTGACAGCTCATCCAGACGTTGTCTGGGCCACACATGCCGTCGACAACAACGAGATCGACCGCATCAACATTCTGCAGGTGAAGCCGCCACACACACAGGGAGAGAGAGAAAGGCAGTCCCTCCACCCCTCCATCTGGATGCACGTATGAGTGTCTGTGTGTACCCAGGCAACTTTCAAAGCCATGACGCCGGCCGCCCAGAGTGTGATAGAGCAGTTGGCCACGTCAGGGGTCAAGCCGTCCGTAGCGGTGTTGGTCGACGGCAACCAGCTGCCTCCCGTGCTCAAAGATGACCCAAATGTCGGCTGCCACGCTGTCGTGCGAGGTGATCAGGCAACAACAACAACACACACACACACACAAGAGAGAGGGTGTGGACTCCGACCTGTGTATGTGTGCGTGTGCAGGTGATTCGAAGGAGTACGTCATCGCGGCGGCGTCGATCATCGCCAAAGTGACCCGCGACAGGTACATTACATACTCTGGGGCGTTATCTGTTGGCGGCTCGTCCACGTATGTATCTTTTCTGCTGTTTGGCCGATCAGGGTTATGAATGCCTACGACGAAGAGCATCCGGGGTACGGCTTTGCCCAGCACAAGGGCTACCCAACTAAGGGGCACATTGAGGTCAGTCCATTCAAAGCCGAAGCAGTCCACCTGCGCTCTGACACACCCGCTCTATCTCTCCTCTCCGTCAGGCACTCAGCCGCCTCGGTGTGCTCCCCATCCACCGCAAGTCCTTCGGCTCCGTGGCCGCGTTGTGCGAGGTAGCTGTGTCGGAGGAGGGAGGCAACGGCGTGCTGGTTTCCGAAGAGGGCGGCGATGCATCGCCCAGATCGGCCATGGCAATGGGGCAGCCTGAGGCAAAGAGGAAGAAGAGGGGCAAAAGGGGGAAGGAGGATGGTGGGACATAGAGTGACGGTGCTGGGCACGGCTGGCAGGTGTGTGTACAGTAGTATGGGGTGGCGTGAGGAGGATGTCGCACGTCACGGTGTTACACACGTGGTGCGGCAAGTGTACAAATGCCTGTCCATGCGTTGTCGGCATAATCCTTTCTTGCAATGAATTGTCGACGATAAAAGGCCTCTCACACCGACTGTCGTCTGCGAAACACACGCAAACACACAAACCTCATGTAAGAATAGGTGGGAGAGAGTCGGGGAGAATGGTGAAGAGAGGATCTGCCGGGCGGTCAGTCCCGGATAAAGGATTAAGTCAATGCAACGTAAGGTCTGTGGATTTTGTGGAGAGTCCACGTAGGA